CGGTGGGCTAAAATGTTTCCATTTACCAAACAACGTGTCGAAAGGTCAGATTCATTCAGAAGAAGCGTTGCCCACTTCCAACCAGCCCGTGTGTGTGTGTGTGTGTGTGTGCGTGCTGCAGAGAGATGACAGCTGTAATGTTAAGAGGATGCTAAAGACGATGAGGTCACAGCCATCCTGCGGAGCCTTTAATGGCGGCCGGGACAACAAAGAGCGAGCGCCGAAGGACGGCAGCAGCCAGGGGAACGATGGCGCTCAGCAAAACAAAAGAAGGGAGATTAAAGTTGCATCTGGTACCCTCGGCGATCCGTGCGAGCTCGTCCCGTCTGCGCGCCGTGCATATTCAGAGCGCACGTGGGGGGCTGGGGGCCTGTGCTGCACATGCTCAGTGGGCGACGGTGATGCGGGCTGACACGTTGCATGTCGTGAGCGTACTCACCGTGCTGAGTAATGTGACATTTAAGGACGGGCGCTTTTACCCTTCCCAGCACAGTTTGCGGCAGGCTCAGCATTCACGACACCTACACACGGATGTGCTCACGTGCACACTACGCGCGCATCATGACCGCATCCTTCAGCAGAGGGAGAGGGAAAGGGTCATTGCAGTGTGACGCTCGTGACTACATGGTTATTGGGGCCCACTGACCGTCCGAAGGGAGGAGATCAACAGTGGTTTGGTGGTGCACCTTGGTGGTCTTGGGTGGAGCCTGAGCTCCTCTCTCAGCATGTGCCATGTGATCGTCACCTCTCTGATGAGGACATCAGCTCCAGGTGTGTCTCTTCCACGCCTGATCCAATGCGCTCCTCTGGGAGTGGGCGGAGCCCTGTGGCAGGGATGTACCCGCCCCCCCTCACCGCAAAACCTTGTGATGCCACAACTACTACGTATACAACTAAGTACACAAGTCAGACTTGAACCATAAAGCCAGTAAGTGTAAACTGATGGATGGGGACGTGCATAAAAGGGATTCAGTGTATGCTCATTTACCCATTACAGGACAATGGAGAATCTGTCTCCGGGTGAAAAAGCTCCAGAAGGCTGAAGGCTGTGTCATCAATGTGTGTGAATATTTAGATCCTGATGGCGCCACGTGTGACAAACTCTACCATCAGCGTGCGAGTGCGTTTGAATGTAGTGTCCAGACTAGACAGACACCGTGTTATAGAAGGTCTCCAGTGGCTCAGGAGGACAGGAAGTGTGTGCTGCCGTTTCCTCGGTTACAGACCGTCACATCAGGAGGCCTTTCTGCTCCATCATGTGTAGACCCGCTCCCTCCACCAACCCCATCAGGTGTCACATCCACCAGCACATGAGTAGAGGCTTTACCCACACTCACAGGTTTCAGCTTGGGTACAATCCGCGCCTCCCCATACAACACCGATGACTCACTTTGAGCCGGTGTACATCGCCATGGTAACACAGGCTGCACAGCCCTCCGTGCAGCAGGTTAAGTTCTGTCTACTGAATCCACGTGTGAAGCTTAACTGCTCATCTGTGCCGCTTTGAGATCAGTGAGGAGAGCGGTTCCAGTCCCACAACGAAGGACAGAGGAGGAGAAGAGATGTGGGTTTGTAGCATTTGTCCAACAAAGAGTGCATCCAAGAAGCCGCAGGGCGCTTACAGCACATTATTTCATTATCAATTATGAATGAAAGTGAGTGCGGCTGACATTGTTTCACATGAAGGACCGGAGCATTAGATTGTACCCGCGTTCCCATTCCCTCAGCATGAGGCCAGCTCAGTGGATACAGAATGGACACAAAAGCTCTATAATAATCAACCCTTCATGGTGTGAAAATAGGTCATATTCTAAGTAGATTTGAGAGGACAAAATGAGGAGAGAGATGCATCATATAAAGGTAAAAAAAATAATAAAAAAAAACCTGCAGCAATACTTTGTTTCTATTTCTATTTGGACAGTCGCAGCAAAAGGAGGACAACTGCCTCACCGCGCTCACAGGGACGCCAGCAGCGTGACTCTTTAAAAGGTGCATCGTGCCAGAAACAAGCTGCTCAGCCGACTCGGACCGAGCTTAGATGCTGTGATGGATCGTCCTATTCCCCAGAGAACCGGGCTCCTGCGCCACACAACAACCGGACCTCACAACCCGCACCGACTGCGCCTGTTAACGAAGCATGTGTCATCGGGTTGGCAGGCAGCAGGCAGCCCACTCCAACAATATGTAATAAGGCGCAATTTGCATCTGATCGGTGGCGGTATTAGTGAGTGATTGTGTTTGTGATTCGATGGACTCATCATGGCCGCGCTTCCTCACTGGGGACACGTGGAGGAGCCGGGAGGAGGACATGGAGAACAAACATGCCCTCACCAGGCGCAGCAGCCTCACATTCATCAATATCAAGGCTGTATTCTAACAGCTGATCCTGCAGCCACCCACACACACACACACACACACACACACACACACAGCCCTGGTTAAGTCAGAGCGGCCTCCTCTCCTAAAATGGAATGTTACGTCGGCGTCGAGCTGAGAGGATGTTTAATAACGGAGGGGGACAGCCTCCCCCGCTGTGGAGAGCGCTCATACGATGGGGGGTACCCAGACCACTGCTGTACGCAGGCAGAGGACCGGGGCATCGGGACTGTGCCGCTGTGCGGCTGCAGATAAAAAGAGACATGTGACCCATCTGCTCTCAGAAGCAAATACGCGTGACTTATTTCCCGCCATGAAGGTGGAGCATCGAGGACAACGCGGCCTCGGGCATTACATCTTGACAGCCGGGGCGAAGGAAATGAACGACTCCTGCTTTCCATGATAAAAGAGGAGGTGAAGAACAGAACATCCCCAACCACGCATGCACACAAAGACACTTGGCACCCTTCTCTAACCTGGAAACCCTCGTATTGTCAGCAATTATCTTCCCCCAGGAGGCCGAGGAATAATGACCCAAAGTTACCTGGATGTAAATATCGCTACCCACCAATGCATGAGCTTCTTTTCTCCTTGACGGACAGATGAAGGATTGCCGGCGGTGGGAACTGAACAAGAGTCTGGGAGCCGCTGAAAGCAGGAAGGGCACCGCTGGCTGCAGCAGAACTCATAAACCCCTCCAGCAGTGAAACGGAAACATCTTGACCAAACTAACGCGAGCGCATGTCCGTGCCGTAGGACTGCCGTACCGCCCCCCGGATGCCACTGTGGAGCTCCGTCCCCTTACCAGAGACCCCAGGCTCAGCCTCGGTTTCACCTCCCCTTGAGTAGTTGCGCTCATTAAGTTGCCTGTGTCCTGCGTGTGGGGTCATACATACAGTCGTAACACACACTTTATAATTAAATGATGACGTTACAGGGTAAATACATTTAGTCACACGGATGGTTCAGGCCGTTCCCATCATGGTGCCGTTTGCTCAAGTGTAAGTGATTGGTGATAAGTTGTAAACTATTCAGTGAGACGTCGTGATTGACAGCTGCTTGGTGTGAAGTAGTCGTGAACTGGTCAATAAAAGGCGTCAATGTGATCAACATTGTATGTACAGCAGGTGTGTCTCTCTCAACATGCCGGTCCGAGTAGAAGAGCTGCTCCGTGGTGTTCTGTGGGACGCCCTCACTCCCTCAGTATTCCTCACTATGGATTTCAGTGGGGACCCTCAGCCAGTTTCTTTCGCCGTGACAGAGATCTGAGTCTGTTAGCATATAGCTCTTAAAGCTGCTTTGCCGACCTGCGGCATCCCAGAGCCGCTAGCGAGTGTCGGTGTGATCTGACTGGTTCAAGCATCCTGGTTTGCTCCTGGCGAGTGATGGAGAATCTGAGGTTCTGGGTGAGAGCGTTCCAGACTCGTGATGCCTGGGACCAGAAACCAGCGACGTCGTCTTCCGTATTCATTCTGAGATCTGAGTGTGTTCTGCTGGTCGCAAGCAGAGATCAGCTGCACAGGCCTGCTAGCATCTCCAGATGTTTCTACTTCTCTAACTGGGCTGTTTCATTAGACAGCTGGTTAGACAAAACAAGTCACCTCGTTCTAGAAAACTAAACGAAAGAATCAAAGTTTCAATGACATTTTACTGACTTTTACACGTCCACTAGCTTTTCCTTTTAAATCAGTTAGATACAGATTGACTCAATGAGGCTTCATTTTTTTCATTTCAAGCAGAGTTAGGAGCAGAAATTAGTTCAGTGTAAAAGACACAAAAAGTTGTCCTTCAGTCCTTCAGAGAGGCTGAAGCCGCCTCAAGGAAACGGCGGCTTCTGTATAATGAGCAGGGTAAGAGAATAAGTCAAACGTTGACCTCTGTACATGACAGCGGTGACCTCGCCTTTGAAGGCGGGTCAGTGGTCTCCCGTCCACAGTGAAAAAGACAAACGTCAGTGCGACTTGTAGTGAAGCATCGCTGCACCCTACCTGCTAAACACCGATTATACCAGAAGTCCTTCTGTCTCCTACCTCCATCTGACAATAGCGACAGACATGGGTGCAGATGACGCTCCTGAGGACAATGACAAATAGTGTAGTCTACAGAACAAGACATGGTTGCATTTAACTTCAAAGCATGTTCATTCATTATTGCATTTAATATAATCACCTACAAGGAGCATGTTACCTGGACTACAAAAGAAAACCGTTAAAAATGACTTCAGCATCCTCACACACCCGTAAGCGCCTCAAAGAAAAGTATCTGGTTGATGATGAGATAATATGTCACCATGGAAACAGGTTTCTTGCTGAGATGGAGCCACAATAAGGAAAACAGAGGTAGGGAACCGGAGGGATGAAAAAAAGAGTTTTGGAGAGCGAAAGCTGGTTGGGGGACATGAGCGTGAAATCTGCAGGAACCTAAAAAAAAAAGTGTGACGGAGCCTGAATAAGGAAAGCGCTGAAGCAGCCACAATGTCACCTGCCGCTGTCGCCTTTGCTCGTGGGAAATCATCTGACTCCACTTCCTGGGTTACCGCGAGGAGGAAATAGGGGGACAAGAAAGGGTAGAACGTACTGGAGGAAAAGGGGGCGGGCGGAACATGTGGGTGTCCTCTTTCTTACCGGGAGTAGTGCAGTTTTTGGATTCCTCTTTCTCCATTTCCTCCAGGCTGCCGTTGTCCGTTTCCTGCAGCAGTCTTCTCCCTCCCCATCTCTCCGGCTGGTCGCTGCCGTGGCTGGAGACATGAAGACCTGGAGGACGTTTGTCGCAGTGAAAAGTTCAAATAGAGTAAAGGACGTTCCATCGCAGCTACGACATCTATGACGATTTCATGTACAAAAACTTTGAGCTGAATACTTTGTGACTCCGGAACTGAGCTGAAAGGGATTTGAATTGAACTGAAGCTCAATTACATGAGACTTAAACTTTAGACAAGACTCAGACTAGCTCAGGATTTAAGACTTAACCAGGTGTCTGGTTTAACGACTTCAGACTTGACTTGGACTTGAGACATGACCTAGAGAAGTTTAAATACTAGACACTTAATTAGGAATCAATCCTTTTGGGGGGAGTTTTTCCGGTGCCGATGGTGGGTTTCGGGACTGAGGACGTCGTATGTGTACAGACTGTAAAGCCCGCTGAGGCAAATTTGTAATTTGCGACTTTGGGCTACACAAAATAAAATGACTTGAATTTAAGGTAAAGATGTGTGACTTTACCTGGACTCAAGCCTAAACACCTGAGATCTGACTGGGGATTTAGTTCAAAGGCTCGTCTTGAATTGGACACTAGTTCAAGTCCATTAGGCTTGGATTGGACTCCAACTTACAGACTTGTGACTTGACCGTGACTCAAGCTAATAGACTAGAGACTTGATTAAGACTATCTTAGAGACTTGAGACTTGACCGTGACTCAAGCTAATAGACTAGAGACTTCATTAAGACTATCTTAGAGACTTGAGACTTGACCGTGACTCAAGCTAATAAACTAGAGACTTCATTAAGACTATATAAGAGACATGAGACTTTGCCCTTGACCCAGGCTAACAGAGTGAAGACTGGATTACCCCTATTAACAGACATGAGACTTGACCCGGGACTCAGATTGAAAGACATGACACATTGTTTAAGACTATCTTAGAGACTTGAGACTTGACCCGCGACCCTATGCTAACAGACTAGAAAACTTGATTAACACAATCTTAGAGACTTGAGACTTGACAGGGAGTCCGGCTGAAAGACTTGAGACATGATCTGGACTCCCGCTAAATGACCTTAGACTTAAATAAACTCAAGCTCAAGGAGTTTAGACCTGGACTCAAGCCTAAACACCTGCGATCTGTCTGGGGATTGAGTTCAAAGGCTCGTCTTGAATTGGACACTAGTTCAAGACCATTAGACTTGAATAGGACTCCATCTTACAGACTTGTGACTTGACCGTGACTCAGACTGAAAGACTTGAGACATGATCTGGACTCCCGCTAAATGACCTTAGACTTAAATAAACTCAAGCTCAAGGAGTTTAGACCTGGACTCAAGCCTAAACACCTGCGATCTGTCTGGGGATTGAGTTCAAAGGCTCGTCTTGAATTGGACACTAGTTCAAGACCATTAGACTTGAATAGGACTCCATCTTACAGACTTGTGACTTGACCTGGATTCAAGCTAACAGACTAGAGACTTGATTAACACAATCTTAGAGACTTGAGACATGACTGGGACTCTGGCTGAAAGACTTGAGACATGATTTGGACTCCCGCTAAGGGACCTTAGACTTAAATAAACTCAAGCTCAAGGAATTTAGACTTGGACTCTAGCTCAAATATTTGGGACTGGAGTTGGACTAGCAATTCTTCAAAGTCTTCACATATTCAGTTTACAAGGTTACAATTCTCCCATTTGAATGGACAGAATGACACCAAAGCAGGTTGGTCCATAAGTACGGCAGCACATTTACCATGATACTGTTACTGTCATGAACAGGGCTTGTCATTTCTATGTGTCAGTTACATGTTGCTGTTGTAGTTGTTGCTGCTAAAAAAGTGTGTGTCAAGCAATTTGTTTCATTTTGATTATTTGTGTAATAGTGGGATAGAGAACAGCTGGAGGAGTTCACGACAGATGTTCCAGTTTGGTACCCCCCCCCCCCCCCCCCCCCACCCTCCTGACAAATTCATACACTGAAGGGGAATTTCATGATTTTCCAAAACAAAATTCTCTTGGGGGGGTGGAGCAATAGTACAGCGCAGAAAGTGGGGCTCCCACTGTGGCTACATCTGCACATTCTTCAATAAAGCAGCCTCACCAATGAATTAATTTCATACTTCAGAGAGCTCAGCAGGAGCACTTTGCTCTTTCACCGGGCCGACCACTGGCCTAAGCAAGGGATCCAGGTAGAATTAAAAAGCCCAATACTCCTCAGGGCCTGCTTGAACTTCTCACCTGGGCTCCCCTTCTCTACATCTCACACGGCAGCTGCAGCCACAGCTACAACAACAGCAACTACAGCAGCAGCAACTAGAACAGAAACCGCTACAGCAGAAGTAACAGCAACTACAGCGGCGGCAACCGCTACAGCAGCAACAACAGCAGAAGAACAACTGCAGCAGCAGCAACTACAGAAGCAACTACATCAGAAACTACAGCGTCAGCAACAGCAACTACAGCAGGAGCAACTACTGCCGCCACAACTACAGCGTCAGCAGCAAGTACAGTACCAACTACAGCAGCAACAACAGCAGAAGGGACAACTGCAGCAGCAACAACTACAGAAGCAACTACATCAGAAACTACAGCGTCAGCAGCAACTACAGAAGCAACTACATCAGAAACTACAGCAGGAGCCACTACTGCCGCAGCAACTACAGCGTCAACAGCAACTACAGTACCAACTACAGCAGCAACAACAGCAGAAGGGACAACTGCAGCAGCAACAACTACAGAAGCAACTACATCAGAAACTACAGCGTCAGCAGCAACTACAGAAGCAACTACATCAGAAACTACAGCAGGAGCCACTACTGCCGCAGCAACTACAGCGTCAGCAGCAACTACAGTACCAACTACAGCAGCAGCAGCGGTGTTTGCGTGCCAGCGCTCGACTCTTCCTCCCCCTTTCTGCCTCTTGCTGTCTTACACACAGAGAGGAGAAGAGGAGTGTGGGAATGATTAATGCTCCACTGTGAGGAGGCGTTGAGTGCTCCGCTTCCAGCTCCACAACATCACGCTCAATTTAGAAGAACTTAATTAAGCGCATCATAAATAATCAACTCTAATTGATATTCCGGCAAGCTGATTAACAGTTAACTAGATCACAATGGGGACAAGGGAAATGCATTAAGTTCCACTGAGACATGTTGAGCGCATGCAGCGAGCAGCACTGTTGCATTTCCATGTAACTAGGATACGAATGTATAATCCCACTGATGATGCACATATCCTCAGTGTGTGAATATTCATGCAGGCCTCCTGTCCGTATAAAGTGATAAATACGTCCTACTTTAGCTGATGCTGACTCAGTAATGGAGAGAAGTGTAAGATGGGTAAAAAGGAGTACAGCGGCAGTTACTCTTTATCTGATTGAATTGGGATTTGTGCCAGAAGAGTTTAGGAATGAAGTTGAAGAGACACAGGCAATAACCTCGAGAGGTTTATACGGCGGGACATACCCTGGTTTGTACCCCTGGAATATACTGTACACTGCCGTTGACCCTGGGGTATGCCCTAATGTATTCGCTTATACCTTGTTTTTTACTCTGGCGTTCACCCTGATGTACACCCGGGTTTGTACCCGAGAGTAACCCTGGCACATGCCTGGCACATGCCATACCCGGCTGTATACCCTGTTGTATACCCCGCGGTATAACCCACTCGGTACCCGGTTGTATACCCTGTTGTATACCCGCTGTATACCCAGTTGTATACCCCGCAATATAGCCCACTCTGTACCCGGCTGTATACCCCACTGTATAACCCACTCTGTACCCGGGTGTATACCCCGCTGTATAACCCACTCTTTACCAGGTTGTATACCCTGTTGTATACCCCGCTGTATAACCCACTCTGTACCCGGTTGTATACCCGGGTGTATACCCCGCTGTATAACCCACTCTGTACCCGGTTGTGTACCCTGTTGTATACCCGCTGTATACCCAGTTGCATACACCGCTATATAACCCACTCTGTACCCGGGTGTATACCCCGCTGTATAACCCACTCTGTACCCGGTTGTATACCCTGTTGTATACCCCGCTGTATAACCCACTCTGTACCAGGTTGTATACCCTGTTGTATACCCCGCTGTATAACCCACTCTGTACCCGGTTGTGTACCCTGTTGTATACCCGCTGTATACCCAGTTGCATACACCGCTATATAACACACTCTGTACCCGGGTGTATACCCCGCTGTATAACCCACTCTGTACCCGGTTGTACAACCCACTGTGTACCCGGCTGTATACCCTGTTGTATACCCAGTTGTATACCCCGCTATATAACCCACTGTGTACCCGGTTGTACAACCCACTGTGTACCGGGCTGTATACCCTGTTGTATACCCAGTTGTATACCCCGCTATATAACCCACTCTGTACCCGGCTGTATATAAGGTTGTGACATATTCTAACACAATATAGACTTCTAACATACACTGTTAATGTCCTAATGTTTTGGAAAATAACCAAAGAAAGATTCTAGAGGAAATGCAGTCCTATAGGAACATGGCTCATTATAAAATGAAACCACGAGCACACAGTTCATTCAGTGAATGCATCACGCTGTAAGCGGGACAAATGGCACCAAGTGAGGACAGGTTTCATCCTGAGTACCGCTAATGTCTCTTTACGAACACGGAGTGTTAGAGACATGAAACAAACAAGCAAACTAATGGAAGAATTCAGCTCCCCGACGCGGAGCTTCAAACAGCGGCAGAACGAACGGATGAATCCTCACCTGAACGCTCCGCAAAGTAGGAAAAGCCCTTGACGACCAGCAGCAAGCCGCCGAACAGACATATCTGGATCAGAACCAACTCCGCTCGCCTCTTCCGCCTCGCCTTCACCTTCCTCCCGCTCGGCATCACTTGCATCGGCCGATTCCGGAGTCGGGTGCCCGGCAGAGACATGCCCTCCGCCGCTGCCACATCCATGCGGACCGCCGGAGTGAACGAGCAGCCTCCTGTCCCCCCGCCCCGCCCCGCCCCGCCCAGAGAACCGCTGCCCGCCCCCCGGTAGCAGGCGGTGAACGCAGCGGGGGATCGGGAGGAAGTTGTAAATTGTTATCGGCGGGACGCAGCGCGCGCGGAGCCGCGTGTCGCTCCTGAAGTCATGAAGGGAAGCGGCCGAGGAAGAAGTGAGCGAGTGTGGAGGGAGGGAGGGGGACGCACACGCACACGCACCTCCACTCAAAGTCAAAACCAGGTCACTGTGGCTCCATTAACTGGGAAGGAAATCGTCGGGTGTCCCATGTGAAGGAGGACCGTAGTTAAAGCCGCACCACGAGGAGCTGTGCAACGAGCTGGAGGAAGACGGGAAACTGGTTTAGTGACCAGTTCACAAAACACTGGGGTTTTGCTACATGGTGTATTACCAATAGGAATATTTAGCTAAATGCTCCAATGGGCTCAGCAGCTCCACACGCCTTCCTGCTGCTTGCTCCAGGCTACAAACACACAGGAGCTCAAAGGCCAAACACCCCTTTTTCGTTCCGATATCAATGATGACCTGTATGTGTGCACGGAGCTTTAACCAGGAAAGATGGAGACCATTCCTAAACCCATTCCGGATCTCTAGATCTCCCAAGCAATCAGTTTTAAATGCAGACTAATCTGCGTTTATCATCTACCAACCATTTAAGCAGCACTGTGCTGCCAGGAGAAGGTGGTGGACCTGAGTGATGTGACTAGCGGGCGTTTAGATGCTGGGAGGCCTTCGAGCTGAGAAACAACACTTCTGTTGCCAACGTACACACGTTTTTCCCTGTAGATGGTCTATGCAGCAGTGATGGAGAACAGTAGTTATGAGAGATGATGAGAGGGAAACGGAAAGGTTGTGAAGACTTCTTTCCAAGAAAGCAGAAGATCAAGGTTCCCATGAACAAAGGATTGATCATACGTCAGGCTATTTTTAGCCGTAGGTACAATTTACTGCATAACTTCAACTAATATATGTAATATATAATGTATGCAATTCTTCACATAGCCTCTACATCCTATTTTGAGTCAATGACTAGTCCAATCTGTTAAATTCAGGTCCATGTCCAGACTTTTGGTCTCCGCTGGGAATGTGTAATTGATGAAGGGGACACAGGCCTGATACAACATCTTCAGATAAATCAAATCATGTTCACGTTCCAAAATATGGACGTATCTCAGCCAAAGGTCAGTAAACCACTTGTGTGTCTCTGGGGCTCAGGACCAGTTAGCTGTGGTTTCGGCACGATGGCAGTTAGGTCCGACGGATTGATTGCTCTCGTGGCGTGTTGGGATCTCACAGCGCGTGTGCCATTTGAGGAAGGGGGATACAACTCTTGGATGGTGGATGAAACTCTTTACAGGCCGAATGGGTTTGTTGATTGTCGGGCCTGCGGTTTCATATAAATAGCACTGGAAACTTTCCAGCAAGAATGGAAAAAGCGTCCGGGTCTCCAGGCAACATGGCTTCTTTTGTGTGTTCTTAACCCTTTGGTGGATGGAGCTCGGAGCTTAACGCGATAAATAAAAGACGGGGGCTCGAAAAGCTGCCATGTAACCCGGCCTGTCCCGAAGCAGCAAGGAGAGCGCAGACAGGGCACGGAGTTACCAGGAGAAGCGAATTCCCAACCTCTCAGAGGCACACAGAGCAGGGGGAGCGGGGAGGAGGAAGGAGGGAGGGCAACAAATTAAATCCACTCAAATTGTTTTTCCATAGCCAGCGGGCTTGGCGAAGGACTCTCACACACGCACAAGATGTAAGATAAGTTGTGGAGAAGACAAACCAGAAACAGCGTGGAGGAGAATGTCTGGAATTTAACCCACCGCCAGTATCTGACCGTCCACGCCCCCGCGACCCGGGGGGCCTCCACCCGCTCACACAAACACAGGTAACGCCCGACGCCGACCGCGAACATCTGCTCTGCTCACACTACCTGTTCTCAGCCCGGCGCAGATGTTTGGTACAGCCTCCCCCCTCCCCCCCCAGTCCACTTCCTCCTAGGCACTGGGAAGCCTCCCTGGCGCTGGGATCCCGGCGCAGAGCGCGGCCGCGGTTCCTGCTCGCTTTGAAGCACATTAAGGTCATGTCCACCGCGCAGTGGCCCGTCTCCGCCGCAGCAGGGAGAGACCTCAGCTCAGCACCACTGGAGGGACGGAGAAAAGGGGTTGCCGGGATCCAGCGTGGTCAGCCAGGAATAGCTCCCTGAACTAAAAAGGAAAAGTTATAAGGGACAGAAGAGACGGGCCAGGTGGTGGTGGTGGTGCGGGAACAAGGACAAGCATCTCTGCGCCTACGTCACACAAAGCACAGTGGAACAAAGCCAAGAACAGCTTGGATCAGACGGTGTAATAATCATTCAAAATGAATAATAATAATAATACATGGTTGCTGTGTTTCTGGGAGGCCACGAGGACGTCCTCACAGGGGACACATGTGTCATTGTCATCACTCGACTTTAGTTACCAGAAGACGAATGGTGTGAGGCTCATGTCCTCGCAGTGGGTACGGTGGGACAACGAGGAGCAGTGTAAGGCAGACGTGAGCACATTTTCAGGTTAATATTTGTCTTAGTCTTCTTTTTCTAGAACATATTTGACGGTTTAAATGTTTAAAAAAAAAAAACAATCTACAAAGACTATCACACAATCTGATTGAATATTCATGAATTCACCCTCCGTCTTAAACGCTTATGAAAGCCTCATAGTGCCTTCGAGCCCCCCCCCCTCCTCGGTGCACCTTTGCAAATGCAGATCTCAAGCTCTGGCTGATTTATTCAAATGAGTCTGCGTCTGATTGGCTTGTAGGATCACGTGATTTCTGATCTGGCCTGACGGGTTTTTTCTTCTTTCAGTGTGCGTTGGTGGGCTCTCCAGATACACAACCTGTGACAACCGGACAAAAGCAACATCACTCTTTTATTCTCAGGTCAAACTGGAAGCACGTGGGGGGGGGGGGGGGGGGTGTTTGTTCAGTCTTTTGTTTGGTTGCTGTGTACATTTATTTTACAGAACCCTCAGGTTTTTCCTACAGGTTCTTTACCTCCGTCACACGCACTGTGGCAATAAAAAGCAAAGCCGTCCGGTACATTTTCACACTGACATCACTGTCCTCGTGTTCGTCATTTGTCAAGGACTCTTGAGCTGAATTATGCGTCAAGGACAGTGCCGTGTCCCTGAGCGGAGACAGAGACCGGGGTGATGTGGAGGAAGAGAAAGCCGAGTCGAGGGAGACGACGGGCGAGATAGGCAGCAGGAGGACGATACGGAGTCTGCTGCACCGCTCAGCTGTCCGAGGAGACTCACACCAGGACCAGTCCCCGGAGGAGGGAGGACCAGGAGTCCTGACCACTGAGGACTGAGGCCTTCCTGAGGAAACTGTCCACGATTTGAGAACGAACACCATCATTTTCTGTACGGCAGCATTACGGTTGCTAACCTCAGCCACAAGGAGCTACCGGTCGTACCACAGCGTGTGCGGTGGCCACAGATAAAGTGGAGCGTGTATAAAGGAAAGAGGACACGTTAAGGATTAGCACCGCAGCAAAGACAGATTCCCTTCAGACATCATAAGTGAACAATGATTAAAAAGGTCAATAAAATATATATATATATAGATATTACATATGTATTTATCCCTTGTAAGCCATGTAGGATGGGAATGATGTCATCATCAGAGCATTGTAGCAACATTGAAGGCCAAAGAAAGATAATGGAGCAGTGTCTCTCCTGCCATTTAATATTTATTTCGTTTCAACGCATGGCAGCTCGGGCCCGACACGTGTGCGCCTGCGTCTGTTCATTTGGATTAGATGAAGATTTCTATATCTCCTGTTTCTAAAGGCGTTAAAGACGAGCTGACTCCTTTGCATGATCTTTTGAATCACTTTACAGTGACAGTGACGTACATATAACAACGGAGGTTATTTGCTCGGTAGAACAGACTAAGCTGTACCAAATGGGTCCAAATGAATGCAACGTTTTAGACGTTCCCGGTGGAGACAGGAACAGGAAGTACGACTGGCAGAGCTCGTCTGCAGCCTTATAATCGGTCAGAGGGACTCGGTGTTCTTTATCCTCCTCTGTTTGTGCACGAGTAAACAAATACTGGAGGCAAATAGGAACCCCGAACCCCTCCTCATCCCCACGGCGGGAGCAAACACCACCAGAAAGAGTCAACACGGGGAAAGAGAGGCAGGAAGAGGAGAGGGCCATGTGTGCTTCTCTCTCCTCGCTGCACACTAAAGCTGCCACATTCTCCTTTACTGAATATAATAATGTACAAATGGGAGCAGCGTTGCAAAGTTCTGGGACAATTCAGGAAAGCAGGATTCTTCGAGAATGAAAACAGCTTTTGTATTCATCATGTCAGAAACAGAAATCAGACATAATGCGTTCATTTAGCCAACGCATACCATGTGGTTAGTTAGCTAGCAGGTAAAAAAAGGTACTTTGAATCTTTGGCGGTGGACAAATGTCATTTTTAAAGTCATGTTTTTTCACTGTCAAGACGGAGATTCATGAAAACTCCGTGACGGAGCTGCGTAACCATGGAGCCCAGCCTGCCACCCAATCAATACACAGGATCTCACTTTGGGACTCCAGAGAGAAGCAGCTTTTGGAGGATACATCCAGATGTCAAACTGATCCGAGGACACAAAGGAAATGAAACACCACCTCACCAGGTGATTGAGACCCAAGACAGTGAAATGAAGAAACGGCGCCCCCTGGAGCCGGGTAGCTCTTTATTCATTGTTACATCAGAAAAGAGACACAAGAGTCCACGCTACTTGATGCTGCGCTAACGCCCTCAGCTTTTACAACGCTCACATCGTCAGAATGGGGAAACCTGGACGGGATGATGGGCAGGAACGCTGAGCTTTGGAGGTCCACCTCTGTGCTTGTCAAGGATTGGCCACAGCAAACCGGCTGATTTACAGACGTTCTTGGTGCCAGAAGGGGACCTGCAGTCCGAGGTCTTGGGATAGGGTTAATCTGAAGAAGGTCCCCATCACAGCTCTGAGGTAGAAGTGAAACCTTCACGCACAGTAGACCAGATGGAGCTTGAGTCCAAAAAGAAGTTCTCCCATTAGCCTCCTCTACTAGAATGATTCGTTTAATGTTGAAAAAGGCTCGACTGGTCAGTGCTCTCTGCAGGTCCAGAGGGTTGTGAGTGTGGAGCCTCTCTCAGCTGAGTCAGCCAAAACACGGCGAGATGTATCCTCGTCCGTAAGACGCCATTTTTCCAGATGGAAACAAGCAACAAGGCGTTTCTGTGGCATTTAACCTCCCAGCAACCAGCCAAAGTAGCCCTGTAGTTTTCCCTAACCCTGTAATCAAACATTTACAGCGATAATAATGCATATTTAATTTCCACTTCTGCTTTAAAATGTGAATAAGAACAGATTTGACGATATATAAATACCCATTGCTCTGGGTTTGAGATGATGCAAAGTACACAGCAACAACTCACGGGGAAAAACAGGCCTCTTATACCTTAAAGAGACGATAACCCTTAATAATAACATGGGGAGTGATTTAAGACGTCAGATATCACTCTTCAACACCTGCAGACAGGGAGTCTGAACATGTATCCATGCAGGCGCCTCACCCTCCTGACCTAGGGCTCCCTGTCCGACGACACGTCCCCGTCGGCCCCACTGCTGGCGTTGGGGTCCCGTCTGGAGCGCGCGGCCCCCTTCTCCCTGCTCGACTCCGAGGGGCCCTTAGAGCGCGTCTTCTCTTTCCTCTGCTGCTGCTTCTCCTGCTTTGACAGCTGAGGAAACACGAGAACAGGAGAGCTTGATTTTAAATAAGAACCGTCTTGCATCATCACACGCGCTCTCAAACTGCCCCAAAGAACATCCAGGTGTCTCTGAAGAGGAAGAGGAGTTACATTCAGTTCCCTTCAAAGAACTGAACGGTGAAGTGTGCTTTCCATGTCTCATCGACAACATCATTGCAAAATTAGAGCCGAGGGCCGTGAAATTATTATATCGTAACCCAAAGATATTCTGTCAACCCAGACACGCCAATACACCGCACGCCAACACCCCGCACGCCAACACGTCGCACTCCAACACGCCAACACGCCCCACACTAGCCTTTGTTGTTGTCAGAATCAAGTCGGATAGTTTGTAACGACGTACATGTGAAAATGTTTAACATTTGCACAACTTTAAACAAGGAGGAAGTAACACGTGAGCGCCACAGACCAGCACTCCACATCTGACAACTCCTCATCCAGACCTACCCCGGGTCACACTCCTCATCCAGACCTACCCCGGGTCACACTCCTCATCCAGACCTCCCCCGGGTCACCCTCCTCATCCAGACCTCCCCCGGGTCACACTCCTCATCCAGACCTACCCCGGGGTCACACTCCTCATCCAGACCTACCCCGGGGTCACACTCCTCATCCAGACCTACCCCGGGGTCACACTCCTCATCCAGACCTACCCCGGGGTCACACTCCTCATCCAGACCACCTCAGGGCGGCACGGTGGCGTGGTGGTTAGCACTGTCGCCTCACAGCAAGAAGGTCCTGGGTTCGATTCCGCCCAGTGGCCTTTCTGTGTGGAGTCTGCATGTTCTCCCTGTGTCTGCGTGGGTTCTCTCCGGGTTCTCCGGCTTCCTCCCACAGTCCAAAGACATGCTCTGGGATCAGGTTAATTGGGGACTTTAAATTGCCCGTAGTTGTGTGAATGTGAGTGTGAATGGTTGTGTGTCTCTGTGTTGCCCTGCGATTGGCTGGCGACCAATCCAGGATGTACCCTGTCTATCGCCCGAAGTTGGCTGGGATGGACTCCAGCCCCCCCGCGACCCTGTGTGCAGGATAAGCGGTCTGACAATGGATGGATGGATGGGCTGCACAACATGACAATACAGTGTCTATATAAATTTACATTATTGACAAAATTCAATACTCCCTGGGAAGAATTTTGAAGAGAAATCAGCAGCGAGACGTCGCCAGTCAGACTTCCTGATTGCTCACATCATAAATGTAGCATGACCTTTGCGGTTTCCCAACCTGCATGACAATTAGTGGAATGAATTAAACAAGGAGGAAGTAACGCGTGAGCGCCACAGACCAGCACTCCACATCTGACAACTCCTCATCCAGACCTACCCCGGGTCACACTCCTCATCCAGACCTCCCCCGGGTCACACTCCTCATCCAGACCTCCCCCGGGTCACACTCCTCATCCAGACCTACCCCGGGTCACACTCCTCATCCAGACCTCCCCCGGGTCACACTCCTCATCCAGACCTCCCCCGGGTCACCCTCCTCATCCAGACCTCCCCCGGGTCACACTCCTCATCCAGACCTCCCCCGGGTCACACTCCTCATCCAGACCTACCCCGGGGTCACACTCCTCATCCAGACCTACCCCGGGGTCACACTCCTCATCCAGACCTACCCCGGGGTCACACTCCTCATCCAGACCTCCCCCGGGTCACACTCCTCATCCAGACCACCTCAGGGCGGCACGGTGGCGTGGTGGTTAGCACTGTCGCCTCACAGCAAGAAGGTCCTGGGTTCGATTCCGCCCAGTGGCCTTTCTGTGTGGAGTCTGCATGTTCTCCCTGTGTCTGCGTGGGTTCTCTCCGGGTTCTCCGGCTTCCTCCCACAGTCCAAAGACATGCTCTGGGATCAGGTTAATTGGGGACTTTAAATTGCCCGTAGTTGTGTGAATGTGAGTGTGAATGGTTGTGTGTCTCTGTGTTGCCCTGCGATTGGCTGGCGACCAATCCAGGATGTACCCTGTCTATCGCCCGAAGTTGGCTGGGATGGACTCCAGCCCCCCCGCGACCCTGTGTGCAGGATAAGCGGTCTGACAATGGATGGATGGATGGGCTGCACAACATGACAATACAGTGTCTATATAAATTTACATTATTGACAAAATTCAATACTCCTTGGGAAGAATTTTGAAGAGAAATCAGCAGCGAGACGTCGCCAGTCAGACTTCCTGATTGCTCACATCATAAATGTAGCATGACCTTTGCGGTTTCCCAACCTGCATGACAATTAGTGGAATGAATTAAACAAGGAGGAAGTAACGCGTGAGCGCCACAGACCAGCACTCCACATCTGACAACTCCTCATCCAGACCTACCCCGGGTCACACTCCTCATCCAGACCTCCCCCGGGTCACACTCCTCATCCAGACCTCCCCCGGGTCACCCTCCTCATCCAGACCTCCCCCGGGTCACACTCCTCATCCAGACCTCCCCCGGGTCACACTCCTCATCCAGACCTACCCCGGGGTCACACTCCTCATCCAGACCTACCCCGGGGTCACACTCCTCATCCAGACCTACCCCGGGGTCACACTCCTCATCCAGACCTCCCCCGGGTCACACTCCTCATCCAGACCACCTCAGGGCGGCACGGTGGCGTGGTGGTTAGCACTGTCGCCTCACAGCAAGAAGGTCCTGGGTTCGATTCCGCCCAGTGGCCTTTCTGTGTGGAGTCTGCATGTTCTCCCTGTGTCTGCGTGGGTTCTCTCCGGGTTCTCCGGCTTCCTCCCACAGTCCAAAGACATGCTCTGGGATCAGGTTAATTGGGGACTTTAAATTGCCCGTAGTTGTGTGAATGTGAGTGTGAATGGTTGTGTGTCTCTGTGTTGCCCTGCGATTGGCTGGCGACCAATCCAGGATGTACCCTGTCTATCGCCCGAAAATGGCTGGGATGGACTCCAGCCCCCCCGCGACCCTGTGTGCAGGATAAGCGGTCTGACAATGGATGGATGGATGGGCTGCACAACATGACAATACAGTGTCTATATAAATTTACATTATTGACAAAATTCAATACTCCTTGGGAAGAATTTTGAAGAGAAATCAGCAGCGAGACGTCGCCAGTCAGACTTCCTGATTGCTCACATCATAAATGTAGCATGACCTTTGCGGTTTCCCAACCTGCATGACAATTAGTGGAATGAATTAAACAAGGAGGAAGTAACGCGTGAGCGCCACAGACCAGCACTCCACATCTGACAACTCCTCATCCAGACCTCCCCCGGGTCACACTCCTCATCCAGACCTACCCCGGGTCACACTCCTCATCCAGACCTACCCCGGGGTCACACTCCTCATCCAGACCTCCCCCGGGTCACACTCCTCATCCAGACCTCCCCCGGGTCACACTCCTCATCCAGACCTACCCCGGGTCACACTCCTCATCCAGACCTCCCCCGGGTCACACTCCTCATCCAGACCTCCCCCGGGTCACACTCCTCATCCAGACCTCCCCCGGGTCACCCTCCTCATCCAGACCTACCCGGGTCACCTTCAACCAGCCTGTTGTTGGTCTGCATCTTCTCACTCGCTCCTAAACAACCTCTCACAGCGCGCGCAATCAAACCCTCCTCTCCTCAGCCCATGAATCCCCACACCAGCATCTGAACCGGGCCTGTAAACATAGGTGCTAAAACTTTAATGGCTGCTGGGAAATATTTATGAACTAGATTTGTCATGTTGCAAATCCAAAGTCTTGCATAACACATTACATTATTCAAAGGGGGAAAAAAAAAGAAAGTTTGTGTTTGAACCCATTAACGTGGTATCGAAGCTGCCTCTGGTACCGCTGTGAGCATCGTCCCTCCTCTCGCCGTCTCTAATGTTAATTTATTTCACTTCTAGAGGACTTTTTCCCCCCGATCTCCAATGAAAGATACAAGAAAACAGCAATTATGCCTGATGAATTAGAGCGAACCCCTTTAAGTGTCACTCATCCTGGAGTGATACGACCATCGTGTCAGTCTCGTCCGGATGAGTGAGCCTGGTTTATGCAGGGCGGTGTGAAATGCTGCGGCTGTAGTGAAGATGTTTATGAAGAGTTATCATCTGGTCCTCTTTTATGGACCCTATTTACATGTTCTCATCCAGGATCACTGTTTAAACTGCTTCATCTGCAGCCGCCCCCCTCCTCCCCCCCGCTGTGCGTGACTTCACCAATGTCACTTCTGTGCCGGCTCTGTTCCGTACCCTTGGGGGGTCTTTGCAGCTGTTCCCCCTGCCTGTTTACGTAAGCACAAGGAAGGGCAGGCAAATACATGTTCAAGCAAATGGAGATCAAAGTTGGCTTTGCTTAGTGGTGCAGACTGAACTGTCATTTTGTTGAAGCTACAATCATCAGGACGGACCCGATTTGATCAAACCTTCCGTGTAAGAATGCCGAACCCTCAGAGCCGGTTCTCGTACGCCATCATTTGCTGGATACTTGACCCCGCAGAGGACGTGTGGCACAGTGTCTGTTGCTTCATGGCCTCATGCTCGACCTTCCCGAACACACAAGATTAATATTTGGAGGATTTGTGAATATCCTCCCTTTGAGCAAACCCCTATAGGCCACCGAGGGGAGGGGGGCCGGCCTGAAGCCAAAGCAGAAGGACGCTGGCCCGGGTCCACGGAAGTGACCAGAATATTATATTTGTTTACGAAAAAATGAACGTCACCAACATTTAAATCTGCTTTCCTTTACAAAAAGCAGAGGCGGAGCTCTCTTAAGACAAATGGGAGAGGAGAGCTAATCAACGTGAACAAGCCGGTATGTCGACTTTGTTTAGAAGTTGACATACAGTGGCAACGAAGAGGCAACCCACCTAAAACACGACCATCAGCTGCAGCGGAACCTCCGTTATCTGTTACAGAACCCTTTCTCAACAGTGCAAATACAACAGACATGGCCTGTTGATGCATCTCTGTTTCAACAACATCATTATTATAAGAGAAGCATCTGCAGCTGCACAAGCAGCATCAGTTCCTGTACACAGAGTGGGAACAGCGCCACTTGGTGGTTCACAGTGGGAACATAAATGAGATGTTTAATGCCGTGTCCAGCGTCTGCCGCCGGACGCGTGTTTGTCCTCTTTTTTGGAGTTGCCCTGGGACTAAAGAACAGCGGCACCACCACGCCCCCAACCCCCCATCGTGTAGGAGCAGTAAAAAAGTGGAATTTTCTTAACATGTCCCTGTTAAAATAACATCAATCCAAGTTGTATGACCATCATCACTAATGGTTGCAGAAGCAGCAGGTTCGTATTACAGAATGACTCTGAAGACTCACATAACCACGTAGCTCCTTTTACTAGCTTTAATCACCTGAGCTTTAAGTTAAGCCATGGCAACTGAGCCATCGCCATGACAACTGGAGAAACACCACCCACGCAGCACGCTTACAGCTCCAGTAGGGAGCCAATAAGTGAACCTTGAGATAAAAAAGTACCTGTCTGGGGTCAGAGGGGCCCATGGGGGACGTCAGGTCGATGGTGACAGGTCCGTCGTTCTGAATGTGGACCTGCATGTAGGCCCCGAACCGCCCGTCTGGAGACACAAAACCAAAGGGACGTTCAGAAGAGCCATGAGGAATGAGACGTGGACATCAATCACCCGAGGTGGAGCACTCTGCCAGGTTCCTCCGTCAGCCCAAGTAGCCACGCCTCCCAAGCCAACGCCGTCACACCCTGAGGCAGCACGCACTACTTGTTTTCATGAGGACACAGGAGGACGCAGGCCCTCGAGACATTGGGGACAAAAGACAAAGGGGCCGTGGGAGGACAAGAAGTTTCAACTTAAATGTTCTCTTTTCTTCAAAACAGGGTGCCGGAGATTAATGACTCCATCTGTGAAATGAAGCCGTGGGCCGCGGCGAAAAAAAACGCTCCATCATCAGATTCCCTCTCTGGAGTGGGGAAGGGTGGGGGGGGGGGGGGGACTAATTAGGAAGCCTTACGCCTGGCTTGCTGGGACAAAGTGTTCTCTGCACCCGCTCCCCGGTGGGCTGGACCAATTCACCGCCACCACCAGGCAGTCAGAGACACCCCCCCTGCCATATAATAGGACAAGGCACCGATCTAAACTTATAAGTGGGTGGGGATAATGGTGACCTTTGACACCCTTATTTTTATAAGCTCATCTTGTCCTCCTGGGACTCCTCATTCTGACCGCCACGCCTGTCCTCCTCCGGCGGTAGGAACCCACACTCAGAGCTGACCTGCTCCTCCTATGGACACCAGTGTCCCCCACTGGGGGGGTGGACGGGGGAAGCGATGGGTACTCGCCCTTGATGAGCTCCGGCTTGTAGCTGCTCCTCAGGTTCTCCAGGATGCTGTGGTAGAAGGGCTGGGCCAGCTCCGCAGGCATGGCCGAGTGGAAGTCCGGCTTGTTGCCCTTCAGAACACACTGCAGCGTGAACTGGCTCACGCACAGCACCTCGAAGTCCCGGTCCACCACGCTCTTGGTCCAGGCCCGGCCGGCCTCGTCCTCAAACAGCCGCAGGTTGAGGATCTTTCGGACTCTGAAAACACACGCGGGTCAGCGGTGAGGATCCGGGTCCATGGCGGCGAAGGCTTCAGCGCCCTCGCCAGCGGCACCGGGGCCGTGGACCAGTACCGGTCTACAACATACAAGAGTGTAAAGAAATGAATCCGAGTAGAAGTGAGTCATCATCTAGGTGCACGATTACTGGGTGGAAGCCCAACTCCCTCCTGGCTGTGAAGACTATACATGAAATGTACTTTGTGGGACGTTGGAAAGTTATTTGTCTCTGGTCAACTCACTAGAATGAGGACAGAAGTGCAGAGGACTATTTGAGCACAGAGGATGGATCAGCTCAGTACTGCAGCTGCACTGAACACAAACACTCACATGTAGTCCGCATCCTTCTGGGTGTCCTCCACGGAGACTCCCAGCAGGACACACAGTCCTCGTCCTATTGAACTGATCTCTTCTTCTCCCACTGCAGGAACACAGGAAGCGGTCGATGACATGAGCAGCTATGGTCTTCATTCAGTGAGAAGACAGGGGACAGACCGGCAATAGACAGGGGACGGACGGACGGAGGCGGGACTGGGGACAGAGTGGCAGTAGACAGAAGACGGACAGAGGCGGGACTGGGGATAGACTGGGGAATGGCGATAGGCAGGGGATAGACTGACAACAGACAGGGGACAGAAAGTAGGACAGACAGGGGACGGAGTGGCGATAAACAGGGGACGGACGAGGCGGGACTGGGGATAGACAGGGGACAGACTGGCAACAGACAGGGGACGGACAGAGGCGGGACTGGGAATAGACAGGGGACAGACTGGCAACAGACAGGGGACAGAATGAGGACAGAGTGGCGATAAACAGGGGACGGACAGAGGCGGGACTGGCGATAGACCGCGGACAGACCGGGGACGGAGTGCTTGAAGACCCGTCCAGCCTCCGGTGAGACAAACCGTTCAGTCTCTGGAGACATGCCTCTAACTAGTGCTAATGCTAACCACTAGTGCTAATGCTAACCTAGCTAGTTGAGCTAACGCGCATGTCCAGTGACGTTACCAGAACAAAACGTTTAGCCTCGCTTTAGCAGCACTACCGAAGAGGAAGGGGGGGGCGGAGGGGCGACAGGTGCGGGGGTCTCTCACCTGTCACGGTCGCCTTGGTGACCCTCTGGATGATCGCTCTCATGGCTCCGCTCGCGTCGCTTCTTCAGCTCCGGCAGAACTCCTGCGTGGGCGCGCCGCTGCCGCCCTCTAGCGGCCGGAACCCGGATGTGTGGACACATGTTTATTGTAGGTCTGAACAACAAAAGGACCAACAACTCTATTTATGGTGTTTATCGGTGTCAGTGTTTTTAATCTATTTGTCCAATGTTGTATATACAATCATTTTTTTGATTATATTGAGGATTACATGGCATGCAGGTTTATGCAAAGAGTCAGTTTCGACCAATCTTTTTCAAGACCTTTGCAATTCACCCTGTCAGTCAACTTGTGTGGCCCCCTGACGGATGATAGCGCATTCTTGCATCATCAATGAATGGAGTTTATCAGAATCTGAACCTGTCATATTTAATTTACATTGAACAATTAAGGATTATAGATGTAACAAAAATCCCCTCAAGAAATCAGATATTTACTCATTTATTACTCAAATATTTAATTGTCAGTTTGGATGATGAACTGTAAAAACAATATTTGAAATTCAAATGGCATAAGCCTGCAAGTAGGTGTTTTAAAAATTCCTTCAATTGTACATCATACGTTTACAATCGCCCCTTAGTCCAGCTCAGTCCCTCTGGGTTCAGAGTGTATGGGGCTCACTGGCTTTAGGGTTCAGGGAAAATACTTGACTAAGCTCATTATACTTTTGTAAAAGTTTTGAAGGCCCTTCACTTATAATGGAGTTATTCTTTACAGAGTGGTATTTCATCCCTCACTTCAGTAAAGCATCTGACTTGAAATACTACGTCAATGTAATAACAAACAGTGAGAGTTGATACAACAACCCAAGTGTGAGTTTAACAACATGACGATGGGGTTCAGCGCGTTGTTGCATCAATGGGTACGTGGCCTGCAAACACAATGGTGCTCTTTGTGTATTTCCCAGAGATGGATGAATCCGCCCTGACGCAGAGTTAACCCCACAAACATTGCTCATGTCTTTAGCAGCACATAGCATTTATAACAGCATCTCACAAGACGAGGAGACTCTGTTTATTTACACGTTACCTCAGTCATAGAATTGAATTCTATAAATAAAGAGGATCTCCTCACACGAAAGCATCCGTTCATAGTTGATAATAAAAAAGTGGCGTAGACGTGGTCACTTGTCGCCGTCTCCGCTCCCGGGTTCCCCGCTGACGGGTCGGAGGAAGTTGTAGATCCTCGTGGTGTACGGGACAAAGTCTTTCTTGTAGATGATGACCGTTTTGGAGTGGGCCGTCTCGTGCACGTGCTCGTTCGGATCCCGTGGCTGTTGAAGAACCTCTTCAAGGAGGCAGAGGGAGAGCAGTTAAGAGCCCGTGTGGACGCCGTTGAGTGAATGATGTGCAGCGTGACCACTGGGAGAGGCAGCCATGTGTAAATCAATTTAAAAGGGGTTCAAATGTGACATTTATTTATTGTGAACACTTTCTCAGGTGTATTAAACAATAAATACGAATTGAAATAAAGATAAATAAAGTGAGAAATATATTTATCGAAGCAGTTTAAATCAGTAAATCAGACAAATCTCTATATAGTAGATATTACAACACGTTCTGAAGTGGACTTTCAAAATAAAAGCCCTTTACAATGTCCACTTTGCTTTCCTCTTTACATTACATTACATCCCTCTTAAATTAGATTACACGGATGTCACAGATCTAAATTCACTTCAGAATGATAGCGAGGAAATAAGTTAATTGCATTAGTCTCTGATTTTTGAATAAATGTACTTTTTGTATCTCCTTTACAAACAAAATGGTTTGAAAGATTTTAAGAGTGAAAGAATAAAGCATAACTAACAGTAAAGTACATGATCAGATTCTTAAATAAATGAATGGGTCTTTACAACAGCATCCTGATGCTTATCGTATGCAAAGGTCAACTTTCATGCGTGTTCTTAACATGCTGTCTTACAGTGATACGGTCACGTGGGTTACGGGGTGTACGTCACGCCCATAGTTCGCTGTCACTCACCTGGCGTGTCGTCCTTGGGTCGCATGTACCTGTAGTACGAGTAGGACCCGAGCATGGTCCAGATACCGACGGCGTAGACCGCGGACACCCGCAGGTTCCACGTCATCAGGGTTTTCAACTTCATGGCGGAGGGTTAGTCTTCCAGACGGGCTGTTTGTCTCGCCTGAGTCTGTGGGCTTCAGCTACAGCAGGGCGCCGCCATGACAGTCCACCCGGAAGTACAGCGGAAGAGGAGCACTTCCGGTTGGGGTTTTATCAAAATTGGCACACGTTGTTTTTTTTTTCAACAAGATGTATTGATGTACTTCTCTGTGAAGTCGGACATTTTTAGATAATTAAATAAAAATGTATGAATAAAAAGCGACAAAGTAAGGTCCAACAGAGTTTATATTATTTAAGCCTGTATTTTCGATTATACACATGCTTGTATACACGTATCAGGCACGCGCACAGACATTTTGGGGTGAAGGTTCTCAAATCAAAAAGAAAAGGGCACCCATCGTCAAAATTATTCATGAAATTAAAAATACTGATAACAAAATAAAAAACACAGTAGGATATTTACCCTGTCCTTCTTCTTTTGGAGTATCTCTTTTCTTGGTATTTTATTCTGTATAGCCCCAAATGGCAAATAACACATTTTCCTGCGAGTGGTTTATAGTCTGTACATATGCAATATCCTCTCTCGAAACCCTCACATCTGCACAGGAAAAATTTTCACAAGAACTTAAATAATTGCCCCGTCGAACATCAAAACACATTTGGGGGGGAATTGATGACAGAGAGAGTAATTGTTATTCTTAAATATTGATGAATGAAGAAACAATTGTGCTCCAGCAGAAGGGGCGCTTTTCTTATCCAGGGCAAAAGGGCAGGTGCTTGAGCACCAGTAGGGGTCTGGTATTACATAACAATAGCAAATAAGAAATGACTTTGACAACAATTTTTAGCATTTTTTAAAACTGGAAATCCAGAAAACATTTGTCAAATGTTTATGATTCAGACGGTTCAATCATCTATTGAAAACATTTTGAAATCTTTGTTGAAATTGTACAGAAATTGTTTGTCAAATTGGCATTCGCAAAGCTTCTAATGAATAAATATATTTTTGGACACTATCTAACGTTGAAGGTGGTAAAAGAACGAGGAGCCCATGACCCAATAATGAAAGCATTATAATATTTATTCATTTGCAGTATTATGAACTGGGTGTCTGTACATTCACTGCATATAAGCTCAATAACTAATGGTTCATTATTTGAAGGATCAGTGTCTGAATACCAGCTGTGTATGTTTCTCCATGGATTGAGTTTCAATATTTCTATTGTATCATTATTGCACCATAACCTGTCATATAATACATATAGCCAACCTCCTGCGGGCCTTTTTGCACATGTTAGGGCATTTTAGTGCATGTGAGCATGCCTTTTAGTGCATCTCATTGCATGTTAGTGCACGTGAGCATCTCCCACTGGTTCGCTCACAGCTGCCCTGCTCTCATTCTCCGCTGTCTTCATGTTCAGAGCCTTGCAGAGGCAATAGAAGTGCTCTGAATAATGAGTGTAGCTGCTTCAAGTCTTCAGTGGAATACTGATATATGTTTCCATTGATTTGTTGATAATACACATTAGGAATATGGTCTTCATTCAAAATGATGTTGTTGCCACAGTAATTTATTTTAGTACCGTTCAACAACAGTTATCACAACAGCCTCCATTTAGAATTATAACTATTATATTATCTATTTTGTTTTGAATTCAAGTGATGCTGAATGATGTTATTCATTTGCAGATGTCCCAAGTATATTTATCCTCCCTCGGTGCCCCGAAGCATGAAGGTTTGTATCAACTCCTCGCCGCACTGACACATACCTGACTAATGGCGTTTAGCCCTGAGCTGCCAGCTTCTTAATGCCACTCACGCACTCACCCAAACTACTTTCACTTATGAAGGCGTGTGAGGGAGGAAAAAGATAACGCTTACTTCACATCGTGGTGTTGAGGGGAAATCGGAGCAGAAATCAAACGCTGGTGATCCACGTTGACGTGAGAGACAGAAGCCAAAACGCTCCGTCCTGTGTTCTTATTGGACGGCTGTCACATCAACAGACATTGATGTAAACCCAAACATACAGAATTCATAATGCATACGGTTTATTCCAGATGTTACTCATGGTGTCGAGACCAGGTAGGACATTGATAAAGCTGCAACTTTTTCTGTCACTCCACTAGTGGAGGCTAACGGTGAATCACTGGTGCTGAGGCTGTGATGGCTGTAGTTCCCTGTGGAGATGGTTTTGTTCAGCGCACACACACGGACGGTGGAGTGATACTGTGTCTGCTCAGCAAATATGTGGAAGGCCGTTTTACATGTGATATGTAGGCTATAGATTTATAAAGGAAGATAAGAAGTAAAAGCACAGGGATGCAATATTCAAACAGTGTCGTTGACTACAAATCAAATGTGTTTAGTTTTCATTTAGCGATCTGTTTCAGTGTAATACGAGCTGCCTCCACACACACACACACACACACACAACTCTACGACATCCATCTAAGAACCCCGTTTGATAATGAAAAGAGTTGCGAAAGGCAACTTTGTTTGCCTCCATTCAATTGAGAGCGCCCCGGGTGCTTCCCCCTGCAGAGCGGCTGGCAGAGGCCCATTCCACTCTGTTGTGACTTGTCCGCTGGAGAATGAGTCAGACTCTCACTCTGCACAGCGTATTCCTCCAGCACCTGGATGCACTGCCATGCGCTGAACAGGACACACTCACCGTGGTGGAACCTGTGAACAACTAATCCGAACGGTAAGACAACTCAAAAACATTCAGATCAGCTGCTTTGTAATCATTGGTTAAGAGTTAGTGAGTCATAGAAGCCATAGATGCACCAACAACAACGACAACAACGTGCTGGAGTCGTGGGTGATGTTTGTAGCATTACTGCATTTAGAACGGCAGAAAACACAAAGTGTGTCAGAGGCGGAGGATCTTTAAAAAAACCTCCATAATCTCCACCTTTTTAAGAGTGAGGCATCCGTTTTCCTACTCGTCGTTGCAGAGAGTTGCACATGCTCAGCAGCGGTCGCACAACGTCTTTTAGCTAAAGTGCAAGCTAGGGTTCAAATAATTGCAGAAGGCAGATTGGAGTGGCAGGTGAAACTTGGTATTGTGCAGTTTTTCCAACTTTGAGAGGGAGGTGGAGGAAACACGTCTTTTTCAATTTGATGAAATATGTTGTGCCCCGAAATATTGAATGTATTAATAAAAAAACACATAAAATACACGTTCCCGTGTATGTAAAACAAATCAGCGGTGTGGACATCCTTTAGTGGCAGCATGATGGACGATACTGTCGTGGACACTTAAACAATAAATGGGCTAAAAGTTTCCAGAAGGTTCACTGCAGCTCTTTCTCCAACCAAACACTTTGAACCTCACCGACCCTGATTTGCCTTGAGCTTCTTTTAGTTGAGAGGAAAGATCCGGTGAGCATAGAGCGACTTTCTACACAGCTCCACAGGCGTGTAGGATTCTATAGACATACAACAAACATGGCTACAAAGGAAAGAAATGTGACCCCGCAAAGTGAAAGCGTAGGCCTCAGGGATGACCTTCTGCTCTGCCTAACCACAATCCACCAGCTCACAGTTGAAGGCCGTCACATTTCACACAGGGTTCACGCTGTGGTCCCTTTGCGACAGCGAGCGTTGGATGGACGATCTATTCAGAGCCACGGCTGTGGGCTCTGCTGGAAGGGTTGGAGGAAGCGGCGCAGGTGAGATCTCACACGTGATGGCCTTTACATGCAGCAGGGATACATACATGGACCATGTTTATGTGACGTGAATTCATGCAGGCGGCTTGTCTGCGCTGTATGAAGTGTCTTGACGGCAGATTGCAACGTTAAGGTTGGCACTGATCAGTTTGTTTTATACACCCGGGGACTTATCTTAGTTAGTTATTCATGACACACAGAGGAGAGAGACGCAGGAGGACGTCTGGAGTCCAACAGGAAGTCATCAGCACTGGTTCCCTCCTCAGACAATTGGATTCTTCCCATTTGGGATTCTCATGGAGACAAATGTGGGTCACACCAACGTTTCTAGAGGCATTCGGTAAAAAGATTTGATAAACCAACTGAGTTACTTTCCAAGAACTTGCTGTGTTCTTGGAAAGTAACTCAGTAGTTAGTTGACGAAAAGGAGAGTGAATAACGTTATAACGGCAGATGAATATCGAAGTCACATCCTCCTTACAGGTGGATCATATTGCATGTCAGCGTTACGCTTACAGCTTGTGTTCTTCTCCCAGATGGCTAGAAAATTCCTGAACTCATCTCAAGTTTATAGCCAATCACAATCATATTGTTCCGCTGTAGGAAGCTCGAGACCCCTCAAGCTTCCAGATCAGATCAGCTTGATCATCATCATAAGACGGTGGGCAGCGGCAGCAACCATGTTTTATAGAAGTCATAAATCAATCTGTTACACTGGTGTTACTGTTACTCCTGTTGAATTAAAGCATGTTCAGGCAATATACCAGGCAAAAAAAGTTAGAATAGGTATTCACGCTTAAGGTCAAATATGAGCTTTGCCAGTGCAGTCTTGTAGAAACTGGATTCAGCCGATCTTGGAGTGTTTGATAAGATCTGCTGCTACAGGTAAGATGAAAAGAAAAAAAAAAAAAGATTGCAAGAAACGATCGCTGAACTTGATAACATCCGCCTCCCTCTCTTCATTCCTTTTCTTTCCCTTTAGGGTTCGGTGAGTCCAGCAGCTCCTCTGGACCAGGAGGCCTGGACCTCGCCACTCTACGAGCCTTCTCTGCTGCCACCTCCGGGGGAGGGAGGTCGGGCCCTTTGGGGGGCTCTGAAGCAGGGTTTAGAGGAGGAGGCATGTCCTCTGTCGGTGCGAGTGGTGGCAGAGACAGGAAAAGGGAAGCGAGTCTCGGTGCGGCGACGAAGGCCAGCTACGGTCCAGGGGGACACGGAGACTTGAAGAGAGGGCCGTGCTCCGCTGTCCCTCACTCGCCCACTCCGAAAGAGAGGAAGAGCACGAGCGCCGCCACGGCAGCCGCCAACTCGGCTGTCTTTTACGGTGAGTCGTAGGTCAGAGGTCAAATCCTTCACCTGTTTCTGGTGCGAAGGACGGCAGACTGACCCGATATCGATACTTTGCCGACACGTTTCAGAGAGTTCAAGCACAAACTCGTCTCCGGAGTACAGCAGGAAGGAGTACGGTAAGGTCTACCCGGGTCTCAGGTGGTCATCTGGAATCAGCAAACGCGTTCCATCCTTCAAGGAGTTTTTCGTTTTCTTTTAGGCTCTTCAAGTGCAACTTCAAGCAGCGCCACCAGAGGGAGAACTCAGAGCAGAGGTATACAGGATAGTACAAAGTACCAGGTCGGACCTGTGCACCACACGTTGTTATCAAAGCAATGAAATATGGACCCACTTTGTGGTTTGCGTAGAGAGTGAGATCAGAGCCAGGCTTCAGAGCGCTTCCCCGCCAGCGAGATGTGAGTAGGACGCCTGCACGTCTGATCAGCCGTGTACTCCCGACTGCTCACTGACTGACTCAATGTGTGTGATCTGCCTCGCAGGGACGGAGCTGGACGACGTGAAGCGTCTGCTGAGAGGAAACCGCTCCACCAGCGCCAGCGCCAGCCCCCCTCAGTCCCCTAACAACACGCTGCCCATCCCCAAGAAGGCCAGCGTGGAAACCAGGGCCGCGTCGGACAGCGCAGGTTCAACCCGTGAGCCGCCGTGTCCCTCGATCTTCATTAACGCGCGATGAACCGTTTTGTTCTGTTTCAACTACTAGATCAGTACGGCAACGTTTGGTCCGGAGGGATGAGCAGTAGCTACGGTTACGACACCAACCACAACAACCTGTCCTCCCTCTCCAGCCTCCACCCGTCAGGTCAGTCACGCATGAAAAGCAATAACATGTAGCTAGTAGAACTATTGTCTCACCCCTCTCGGTCACACCTGAGCAAAGCGTGACTTTTCTCAAGGTGAAGCGCCTTGGTTCTGTGAGTTTGACCTCGTTACTCTGCCTGGTTTCCATGGGGACTATTTTCACTGCAGACTTTGTTTCAATGCACGTCACGCTTGACAGATAGGGAGACTCCGAGGGGCTCAGTAAGGGGTAATAGATGGACTGATGGGCTCTGTTGTGTCCTGTGCAGGAGTTCAGAACAACCTGACACCCGGCTCTCCCTCCATGCACGGGAGCCCTTCTGCTGGTAGCTCAGGTGATGCTCTTCCTGTCGCGAATGCGGCGATCTCAAGTCCTCATACGTTGTCCCCGACGGGAGATAACGGTGTTGTTTCCCTCTCCGCCTCAGTTCCTGTGTATGGTGTCCAGAATAACCTGGGCAGTACCGGTGCTGTGGGCCTCTCTCCAACTGGGACCAACCCACACATAGGTGAAGCGGTCCTTGTCCATGGCCCGAGCCAGAACCGGTCCGACGTATCAACGCTTCACACCGTTCGAAGCGTCTGGCCGACAGTCTGCGCGTCTGCCTTTGTAATCTCACTGTGCAGGAACAGGCAAAAAAGCCAACTGGGCTTATTTAAAGTCTCCAACTATATAATATTAAAATATTTTACAGACTTAAAAACAGAAAACAAAATTTTGTTTATCTTGACTTTTGAATCTTGTTTCAGGCAAATTTATATTTTTTTATATTGATGTATATATATATATTTTATTATTTCTTCACTAGTAACATATAAACTGATTTTTAGTCACAGGGGTTCCCCTTTATTGTGACAAGATGGACAAAGTGGTTGGAGTCATTGCACTTTTCATCATGGCCGTGCCACTTTCGAAGCAGAGGCCAAAAAACGGCCCCAGAGTAAAAAAGAGTAGACTGTGTTACGCTCAGGTGACCCTTTTCAGAGGTGTCAATATTGACTGCGTCAGTTTCCACGAGGACGCATTACAGTTACCGTAGAGAAGCGGTGTGGTGTCCGTGGAATCATGAGCGTGCTTTTTCTCCTCACAGTTTACGGTGTGCAGAAGAACGTTTCTGGATTGAGCACCACTGCAGGTAAGGGCCTCATGGATTGTGAAAGAAAGGGAGTTTATGTTTGTGTACTGCAGTAACTGTGGCAATCCTTCGCTAAGGGTGTTGTGTGTGTCCCACAGTGAGACCCAGCAGTCCCTTTAATGAGGACGCCTCAGGCAAAGACTTTAAGTTTGTGCTGCTGGAGAAGGAGAACGCTCCGGTCAAAAAGGAGACAGAGCGCCTGATGATGACCCAGAAGGACACAGGGAAGCAGTTCATGTCTGCTCGGCCGGCTCTGGCTTCTGGTAACACTTCTCCCGCTTACACTGCTGACACTCACGTAGTGACCCCACGTCTTTTAATGTCCCCTAGGTTGTCTTCCTGTGGTCAGTGTTAACTGTTCTGTCTTGCAGGCACAGACTCCCTGAAGAGAGACAAACAGGAGCTCTCATCCAGCAGAGTGGAGGGAGGAACGGACGCCAAATGTAGAGCTTTATGCAACTGAACTCATCACGTACATCGTATTTCTTATTTGGTGTGTAATTCTTTGCTCTTTCATTTTTTTTCTTTTTATAGCTGCAACCCTAAAAGTTGCCACAAAAGACAAAGCCACCTATGCAGGTACTGTATGTGGTGCAGATGTACTGTCTGTATGCACGGGTCTAAAGTCACATCCTGCCAGAATTCACAACAGAATTGTGTTTAAAGGACACGTGAAAATAATTTTGCGTAAATGTGTCTGTTTATCAGAGATCGGTAAAGACGAGTCAGGCTTCGGCTTCTGCTCCTGCTGCAGCTGGTGGAAGTGGCTGCTCGGCCTCCTGCTCGGCCTGCTGCTCCTCCTCGGCCTCCTCTTCGGACTCATCGCTTTGGGCAAGACCTGCATTCTCCAGCAGCTTGTCACACACCCCATTCACACGGGTCACTGACGTACCTCTGCTCCTCTGCTCCTCTCCGGCCTCACAGGCGAAGAGGTGAAACGGCACGCGAGCCGCCTCGAAGCCCTTGAAGCCGTTACTGGCACGGCATCAGCCAGGTCCAGCCGACTGTCGGCCTCCTCGGCCGTCAACATCATCGACCCGCTGGACGCTTCGCACATCGCCAGCGGCCCTTCCGGCTCCACCCTGACCCGATCCGAAAACGGAATCGACCTGGGGGCTGTTGAGCCCGGGGGAGGCGCGGGGAGCGGACCCGGACAAGACAGCGGCGCCCTGCAGAGAGCCGTTCAGCAGCTGGTCAAGGCCGAACTCCGCTCGGACGCTGTGAGAGGTACGGATGAGTGGGATCACACGACACGCTGGTCAATGGAACAACGTCCATGACGTATGTAAATGTCACCGATCCCAATGTGTTTTCACCACCAGAAACACTTGCTCACTCGCTTAAAGGGGAGAAAGGAGATCCAGGACCTAAAGGCATGTTTGCACCAATCCAAAAAGAATTTGGAAATTGATATTTACTCGTTGTCCTACATAAGAATGATTGTTTCTTCACAGGTGATCCGGGGCTGCTGGGACCAAAAGGTGACAAACAGCCCTGCATATGTATTCAAAATGTCATGATTATGGATCCTCAGCAGCGTGCGATAGACAGGAAGCTGCGTAACGCTTCTGAATTGCTCTTTTGCAGGTGATGGTGGATTTCCCGGCCTGCCAGGTGAGACTGAGCACAATTAGTTGAAGCTGTTTCCTCCACACAGAGGTCACCAACTAACTGCCAGCTCCTTCTGCCCTGTCTCATTTCTTTAGGGCCCCCTGGGCAGTTGGGACATCCAGGATTGGATGGACCAAGAGGACCAAAGGGAAGTGGAGGTAGTGTGAAGTTGATCGTCTCTGTCCGTTGAGGACACAGTAGGAGTAGGATGAGCGACAGTGAGTGAGTCCCTCCTCCTTTGTGATCCAGGTGAAGCGGGTCCCGAGGGACCACCAGGTCAGAAGGGGCGGGACGGGCTAATGGGCCCCCGTGGAGAGATTGGACCACAAGGCTTTGGAGTGAAAGGAGACAAAGGTAGAAGATGTTCATGTCCCCCATGATGAATCACAGGAAATGATTCATTAATTGAATGAAATGTGCTTTTGACAGGATCTCAAGGTGAGGCAGGACGTCCGGGTATGGCTGGTGCTTCTGGTCCTGTGGGGCCAAAAGGTAAGGTCAAAGGTCATGGTGTTTATAGCCCTTATCGGATCAAATCTTAAAACCTTTACCAATGTCTTTTGAAAATGTAAGCACATGTACAAATGACTTTATCTTTGAGTAAAGTGTCATGTAAAGTCACGTGCCAAAACAGATGCCAAAATACTGAGATGTCCTTGTATGATTTAGGTCCCATGGGAGAGCAGGGTTCCTCAGGAAGCCCCGGTAAAGACTGACTACTGAAGATGCATCTGTGTTCATGTCTGTCATATCCTGTTGACTGTCAGTCATGTTTTGTGTCTGTAATCACTTGTTTGCAGGAGCTCCAGGTCCAAAGGGTTTCCAGGGTGAGGCAGGAGCACCAGGCGCTAAAGGTACCTTTCAATGCGTTATCTTCTTTCACAAAAACAAAAAAAACGACTAAATTAGTTCGCTGGTTCAAGACACAATATTCCTTCAGTTTAATATATCCACCATAACAAGGTTTATACAGTACATTAAAATTTTAGGCATATTTTAGGGAAAACTGTATTTTCCCAGTTGGCCCACATCAGCTTCTTCTTCTTCTTCTTCTTGTCTCTCCTGAGTCGTCCCTACTGTGAGTAGCTTAGACATGTAAAACAAGCCCCTTGAATTGCTGTTAAAGATCAAATGTGAGATGGATTTTAAATGAGAGTACATTTACCAGAATATATTAAAAACTGACCTTACATTGTTTTCTGCTGGACACATGGTGACAGATCCTTTTGTTGTTTTGATGATTAAGAACATTAGATATTTAAATAATATAAATGTGAAACTCAATTCAAAACATATAGTATTTATTTCTAAGTATTTAAAATGCACGAACACGAAAAAAACTTCAATTTTTGAATATCACAGCAATTTCGGGCCAATAGTTTTCACAAAATGGTTATTTGATTTCATGATATGAGTACCCTTTATTGCTAAAATATGATATTGTTGAAGAAAATCACCATCATTATCAATAATGGACATGAAATATAACGCAAATAGAATAGAATGAGTCATAAACTAGAGTAAAGAGTCTTAATAAAACTAGGAATATGGAAAAATCAAATAAAGACATGAAACTGAAAAATAGGACGAATGCTTAAGGTACTGTGTCTTAGCCCAACGATTATACGGTCATTGCAGTATTAAGCATATATATATATATATATTGTGTAAAGAAATCGCTTTATGAGTTCAGAACAATTGTCTTAGAGCTTTATTTCTATTCACACAGGTGATCGAGGAGCAGCAGGTCTTACAGGAAACAAAGGAGAACAGGGAGAGAGGGGACCACGTGGATCCGCAGGTGAGTTATAGAGTAAATATATCAACAGCAATAGGAGTAACTTTAACTTTATCAAGATTTAATACCTTGACTACAAGTAGGCCTCAACAGATGGTTAGGGGTAACCTAACATGCCATTTGTATCATTTCTTATTGTAAAATATATGATAGAAATAGCAGTGATAACAATATTTAGACCAATGTAAGTTGTCATTGGGTAGAAAAGGGTTTTAGGATTTTTAAATTTTCTGGTTTTCTTGGTTTAAGGTGAACCTGGACAACCTGGACCACAAGGCCCTGCTGGAGCAAAGGGATCTAACGGGATTGCAGGTGAAGAAAGAGCTTCACAAGTGTACTGAAATATATGAACAAGATGGCGCGATTAAAGAGGAACATAATGAGAACTACATCTTACCTCGTCACCCCTGCGTTTGCTCTGTTGGGTCAAACATTCTGTATCGGCACGCAGAGAAAGATCCCAGATTATTTAGAGGTGCTGGTGAGGTCAAAATTGCTCTGTAATCCGGGGAATTCATGCAGGTGACGCAGGTCCGATGGGACTTACTGGAGTAAGGGGACAGCCGGGACTTCCTGGAGATGTCGGTCCACCAGGTAGGCTGCTCCCAGCGGTTTGTGCATCAATTCCTCGTCCCAGATATTGTCTGGGGAATAAACAGCAGCTATTTTTCAATACAATGATGAAATAAAAAATGATCGTTTATGCAAAGCATTATGAAGAATTATGAAAGCTAACTCATTAAACTTTTGTTTTCTTTCTACGGGTACAGTACGGCTAGAGCCTTTCAGGTTCACCTTTACTGTGCCTAAAGAAAGTTGTGTAAACGACAAAAGTACAAAACTAAGGTGTTTAAACAATGCGTGCCTGTATCTACTGTATGATGAAAAGTTGAATCATATAATTATACACAGTTGTCTTTCAGGTCAACCAGGATCTCCTGGTAAAGTCATCGCTCCAAGTGAGAACATGGACAAAGCACAATTAAACCTTAGAATACATAAAGTCTAAAATGCAGCTGCCGTTCAAATCTTGCTTTTTACTTCTAGTTGGTTCCAATACTGTGGCCATACCTGGACCCCCTGGGCCTGCCGGGCCTGCTGGGCCAGCTGGCCCCGCTGGGCCTCCAGGTCCTGCTGGAACCCATGGTCTGTCTGGTCCCGTTGGCCCCGCTGGTATCCCAGGACAACCTGGTAAACCCAAACTCTTGACTCGTACTAAGCATCTGGAATCCCAAATGGACTGAGGGATGTGAGGATTGTTGATACATCTGGTTTTCTGTGATGGCACATTGATATCATACTATAGGACCCAAGGGAGAACAAGGAGAGAAAGGAACAGGAATCGGTTTACCCGGACCTCCAGGAGAGAGAGGAAAACCTGGCAGCTTTCTGCCAACCTCAGGTTGGTAAAGGACGTCTTATAGAAAACAAATCAATCAAGAAACCATTTTCAGCTTTTACTGTCTTTGCTTGGAATCTTTAATGTGTTCTTCCCTGGTTTACCACAGAAACCTTTTTTGCTGGACCACCAGGACCCCCTGGACCACAAGGTCCAGCAGGTAGGTTTGTAAACCATGTAAACCAGATGCTTTGCTTCTGACAACAAAAGTATTTTTCAATACAGATCAAAGGGCCAAATGAATGATGCATTCATGTAAACAGAACCGTACAGGTGAATGTAGCCGATAAATGAGGACTCTTCTTAGAATGGTTCCAGTGGACAGTTACTTTCTTTCATCTTATCATTCATTATCCTTAGGAGTCAAAGGACCACAGGGGTACCAAGGTGAGAGTATTGCAAACCATTGTATACAGTAGATTACCAACATTTTAAACGTTAAAAAGAAAATAAATATTTTAATATGAATGACGATTGTTTCAGGTCAACCAGGTCAACCGGGCCTTCCAGGGAGTCCAGGGGAACCAGGGGTTGGTATGTGAACAACTTTTAGATTTAGATTATGTAAGAATATATTACATATATATTTTTTATATTTGTTGCATTTTGTAGAGCTTTCATCAACATTTTGCAGTTTAATTGTTATGGGGGGATTTTAGGAGTCTGTAATGAACCTCCAAGCTCTTTTACTAGATGTTCAACATTTTTCCTGTCAGGTGTCCCAGGTCAGCCAGGACCCATGGGGCCTCAGGGTCCAGCCGGCCCAGAGGGGCCACAAGGACCTCAAGGACCTCAAGGTAAACTCAGGCTAATGTTCTGATCCTCTCTTGCAGAGCTGGTACAAATGCTCTGCTTGTATATGTGTTATAAGAGACGGAGCCATGGTGAATTGTTAAACACAATCGCTTCATGTCCTTGCAGGTTATGGAGGACCCCCTGGTGCCCCTGTGGCCGACAATGGTAAGACCAACATAAACATTATGTAAAATAATGCTTTGAGAAAAAACAATGGTGTGCCAAAAATGATATGTTTGTATTAATTCATGAGGAACAGTGTGTAGCATTATGGGGGATTGGAATATAATCAAATCATAAAAGTGACAGATCCCACCAGATGCCACCAGAACCTGCACAGCCCTCAATCAATCAAGCTGCAATTCTTCCAACAAAAACAAAAGTACACCATTCCTTTAATGCAGTTAATGAAAGTCTTCTACAATTTTTACAACCAAAGCTTTACCAAAAGAGTACTCCTATGATTTATTGTTGCAATCACAGGTCAGACATTATTATAAGATTAATGTTGGCCTTGTGATTGGCAAGTCGTTTTTATAAGCCCCTCTGCTTAACCAACAGGCATGAATAGTAAGTACTGCTATTAATTGAGCCTTAATATTACGTGTAGGTGATTGATATTTCAGTTTTTTGTTAGATGACGTTATCTGTGATGTTGTATCAGGTGGCTCATTCAGCCTTGGAGCCCCAGGCCCACCTGGACAACCTGGACAACCTGGACAACCTGGACAACCCGGACCACCCGGAAGAGACGGAAGTGGGTCTGGATCAACCAATGTTGGCCAGTACATAGCAGATTACCTTCACAGTAGGCGATGCTTGTATTTTCTTTGGTTCATGCTCTGTTTCCCAGTGATTGAATGAATGAGACAATATTGTCTTGACATGCAGGTGATGGTATCAGGCAGTACCTGGCTGGACCTCCTGGACCTGCTGGTCCTCCAGGGGCCCCAGCGCCTGCAGTGGATGACTTGGCCAACCAAGTTATTGCCTACATCCAGAGTATGATCAATTCCGTCATAATGTGTAAATAAATCATTATTCAGCAGCTCTGTGGGAGACACCGACACCTTCCTAATAACTTTGATCACTTCAGGTTCAGGTAGAGGATACGATGGGGCTCCTGGTCCTCCCGGTCCTCCAGGTCCACCCGGCTCCATCTCTGTTATTGATGTTATCAACGTATTACAACGTGAGTCTCTTTTGGAGGAGGCTAAAATACTCATTTAAATGGCATAGTCGCCACAGTTGAAGGGTGTAGGTTTGATACCCTGCTCTCAGCAAAGCATGTGAGACTGTTTGTCAGAGTATGCCAATCATTTGTGTCCAGGAGAGGACGTGAGGAGATACGTGGCTGGTACTCCTGGTCCACCAGGACCTCCCGGAGCTCCAGGCCCCGGCAGCTATGGATTTAACACCCAGGAGGTAGCTGAACGGGTCCTCGTCCTCATGAACGGTGAGTGTCACTGTATGCCACCAGAAAGCGGGGTGGGGAAGGTTGAGCTCATTCTGTCTTGTTCACGTAGTCTATGCTGGTCATTGGATCTAGTAGCATTTTTAAGCCAATGTTCATTTTCATTGTCCAACTAGGAGTCTATCAGGGGCCTCCTGGTTCCCCTGGTATCCCTGGTCCACAAGGTCCACCTGGACCAGCAGGTCCAATTGGTCCACCAGGACTTGGGAACTACATCAGTTCAGACATTCGTGATTACCTGCATAGTGAGTCTGACAGTTATTAGCTCTGTCCGTTCATGACCGATTCATCTGACAAAATTCACAAAAAGAAATTGTATAAAATAACCATTTAAATTAGTATGACATGCATTTTGTCGTCCTTCACGTCTGCTCCCTTGTTCCAAAGGGGTTGCCTTCAGAGACCAACCAGGCCACCCTGGTGCCCTTGGACCCGAGGGCACCAGAGGTCAAACCCCCGGCTACGGAGAATATCCCAACGGAGAGACGCTGAAAGCAGAACCACAACAATATACCAAGAGTGAGTTTGCGCCCCGATCTAAAACCGTCGCTAGAAGTTAGAAAAGGTAACTTTACGTGTCACTGCGTTTACTCAAGGACATGGGTAAGGTCAAACAAAGATATTGTACAAAAAAACAATTTTTGTATCACCATAAATATTTAATTAAAGCACAATGGTAACAAATACCACCACAGTCAATGTCAATTCATTAGTCATTCTGATTCAACCCCAGGACACGAGGGAGAGCCTGGTGTGCCGGGCCCCAGAGACCTGGATACTGAAGACTTCGCCCAGATGGCTATCAAAGTAACTGATTACATCAAATGTAAGTGATCTAGAGGAAGTTTCTTTTGATCTTTATCACATGACAAACAATTTCTCTTTTAATACATTACTAGTGCACTGGCCGTTCAGGGAGGGGTTTGGACTGAATTGCTTGGCCCCTGGAGGAGCTTGTTGCAGCGTTATCAAATCGCTCACCTGTCAGAATAGTTTAGTTGTAGTGCTATTGTGTTAGTAACCCACTGTCAATGTAAAGTCAATGTAAACTTGCTGGACTTATTATGACTCAATGTGTCACTGCTCACCCTTTGGTTCTAGCAATACACCCAAGCAGTGTAAATACTAGGCCCAACTATGTTAATAACCTCTTGAAGAAATGTATTTAGTGTGTTTGTGGTCGGCCTATGAGCTGTAAAGGACAGCAATACGGGTTTGAAGTAGCTAAAAAAAGAACATACGTTCAAATAATAAAACACAATTTAAGTGCTACAGTTTGTTTGGTGTTTTTTAGTCGAGGTAGAGTCTGAACAGGTGTGTCTTTAGTTTAAGATGTGAAGGCTCTCTGCGGTCCTGATGACAGAGAGCTCGTTCCACCATTCAGGAGCAAGGGCAGCAAAGAGTCGTGACCTAGTCGAGTGTTTTGCTCTCAGTGAGGGAGGGACGAGCTGTTTCCTGATGTTGTATCTACAGGATCGTGTTGTCGCAGTGATGCTGAGAGTTGCCTGTCGAGTGTCACGCCGAGGCAGCAGTCAAAGTCGGCGTTAACACAGAGTTGTCAAAGTTAACAGTCAGGTCCCCCAGGAGAATCCTTTCCCAGGAAGACAAGTAGTCGGGGTTGATTTTCAGACGGTGAGACATCCAGACAGGCAGAGATCCGAGCCGCCACCTGAAGCCTGGTTTATACTTCTGCGTTTTCAGAGAGACGCAAGAGCCCCTTGCGTGCTTACAGGAGGAGAGTTGGTTAAAGATCGCACGTTCAAGAGTTTTGGACAGAAAGGGAAGACGAGAGACCAGTCCGTAGTTGTTTTCTTCAGATGGGTTTCTTCAGGAGAGGGTTAACTCTTGCCTCCTTAAGAGAGTTGGGTAAACAGCCAGAACAGGGAAGTGTCGATGACCAGGTGAGACCTCTTGAGCTTAATCTCCTCTGTAGCACAAGCGAGGCTAAAATACCCCGGAGTGTTGGAATGGAGCGTTTCAGACAAAAGAATGAACCTGAAAGTTCCCACATGTGTCCTTTCAAGGACTCTCTGGAAAGTGATTGACAGCGGCCACACAGAGAGCTTTGCTTGCTTGTCCCTGCAGCCCGCGGCCTCCTGTACGACATCGTGAGAGAATACAATAGTCGTGCGTTCCAAGGACCCCCAGGACCGCCGGGGCCCGCGGGTCCCCCTGGAGACAGCCGGTGGTTTGGTTCCCGTGGAAACGCCACAGATCTGCTGGAATACATCAGGTGTAAGCCACTGGTACAGATGTGTACAGATGTCAAATCAAGAGTACGAAGTACTGGTTGACTCCTCTCTGCTTGTCTCCAGCTCGCGGTCTGCTGCGTGACTCGGATCGAAACCACAATGATTCCCCCGTCCAAGGGCCGCCAGGACCACCCGGCCCCCCGGGTCAACCCGGACACAGCCGGCTGTTTGGTTCCCATTCAAACGTCACCGATTTAGTGGAATACATCAAAAGTAAAGATGTTACTGAGAAGAAGGATGAAGTCACTGAGAGATGAGAGGATTTATGATAACTGATCTCGTCATCCACAGCACATGGAGCCATTGTGGGGCAGCCTGGGAGACCAGGACGCAAAGGGGACAGAGGATACCCAGGGCCCAAAGGAGAGAGAGGTAAATCCGAACAATGCGTTCATAGCCGAGTAAACATTGGGTTCAGTGTATTCCACATAGTACTTCAGTCTGCTAGCGCCTTTGTTCAGGTTGTTGAGAGCAGTTAAATCACCTCAGCTGCATCGTGACATGATTATATCCACACAACCCTTTAATTATGAGAGTAGAATGTATAAAAATGAGTCATCATACAAGAGAGAATCTAGTCTCATAAAGTACAGATGCATTGGTTGCATTGATCCCTAGAATGGTTATGCACAGAGTGGAATCTGTTCTCTGTGCTCATTGGGACACTTTCCATTAATCCAACCTGTGTTCCAGGAGAATCCGCTGTGAGGAACCGGAGGAGGCGGGACGCTGCGGCCTGACACGGGCTCCGATTTCTATATTTCTGACTGTGGTTCATGAATATGAGCTGGTTTCATCCGCTCATTTGGGGGGAGGAGTCGCTCTTATCGTTTACGCCAGTCTGCATTTTATAATTTTCTTTTTTTTTTTTAATGTAAATTGTTTTTTTACAAAGTTATAGCTTTTCTGTCAGATGATTGTGCATGAGAGTAAAAACTATAGTACAGAGAAAACATGTTTTATTTACAGCACTATGAACATCGACATGACACATCTAAGAAAACAGACATTTATTTTAATAAACATCAGGATTTTGATATGGATATCATAGTTTTCATTCAGAACGTCATCCATTGACCCTTTTGTGTGTAGAAGGAGTGAACACGGTGCTGCAGAGAAAGTTCTGGAGGAGCTGCAATCTTTGTCCGCTGGTTCAGTATTTCAACTTTTTAGTAGCCAATCAGGAAGAAAACGAGACGATGGGATCAACCGATCACCAGTCCAGTTCCTATCTGCATCAACGCGGCGTTATAAACTAAACGCTGGTAGTTTCTTCAGAGTCACACAGCAGAACACATGATGTACTCATTATGAAGGCTATTAGCTAGCTGGACATGCAAACAGTTTTTCAATAAGAAGATGAAAGGAGAGCTGGTTGGATTTGCTCACCATGTTTCACCAACACAAATTCTTTAACGTTACATAACTTCCAAAGTCAATGAAACATGCATCTCTTTCGCTTGACTAGAACAACGGGTTGGCAGCTAAAGAAAGGAAAGCAGACCCACGGATGTTCGTCTCTGCTGCGTGCTGAGAAAGGCCCTGAAAGGAGGAACTGTGTCCCTGAAGCCGCTGTGAGGTCACGCTAGTGCCAGCGCTACTCATCACACGCTAAACGTCTAACACGCCCATCGAGGATTTCATCTAATATACGGAATCATTCCTTCAGCAGGACTCAGCTGAACAACAGGATCAGTCTCCTTTAGCCGAATACTAAGATTTGTAATCATCAAATAGAAATTATAAAGAAATCCACAAATTGTTTAAGCTGTATAAAATGCTTTTTTGATTTCAAATGTATGGAAGCCTTGAGAGGCAAGTGAGAGGAGGTCTGATCTCCAGTGTTTATGTGCCTCGGGGTGGAGGCACTTTTCTTTTTTGGCTGGTGGAAACCTTCGTACCTTAGCATCGCTTAGCAACCAGTGCCGACTGTCTACTCACAACACTTCGACCACCTCGTTAAGTGACAAACAGCCTGGATCACCGTGATATCGCCCGTCTCGTTTGCTTTTCAGAGCCTCCGTACAAACGGCTAAACGAAGGATGCAGTAAATTATGAATTTCACAATCAAACAAAATTAGCTCTACAGGCACCGGAGTCTTCATAAAAAACTATAACTTACGGAAGGGCTACTTCAAGGAAACACTGAATATGAAATTATCCTTCAAAATATCTGTTAGTAGTTTGAAAATATGCCGACACAAACAAAAAGAGTGTGCAGAGAAGTCCAGAGATAGAAATGCTTCCCACAGCCTCCGGAGGAAGAGGGCAAGGCAGCTCGGTTCAGTCTGTACGGTGTGTGTGTGTGTGTGTTCATCGTGCACGTGAGCTAGAAGCCTGTGGAGTGGACAGTGGGGATTGGGTAGAACTTGGAGATGCGGCTCTGGCTGGAGGGGTTAAGGCACTCTGATTCGCCGCTCATCTTAAAGAACACTTCCTGTTCCTGCAGCTTCCTGGAAAACTCCTCCTCCAGGGCCTGCAGGGCACACACACACACACACACACACACACATCAAGGTGGCTCCTTTACATCCACTTGTGTGTTAGTCAGAAAAGGCACAGCCACAGCGCTCTGGGCAGGTGGACATTGGGGACTGATGTGATTGAGACTCCTACTTCTAATTAATTCACACAGCAGGCGGTTCTGTTCAGTTCAACATGGATCTATAGTCTCCACCACTTAGTTGTAGAGCAAACTAACCCTCAGAATGCCATCCCATAATATGTGGTCAGAGGACGTCATGTGATGGTGCTGAGCCGTATCTATTGAGTCTGACGGTCTGTGACGTCGGTCCGCTCCGCTCAACGGGATTACTTTAGTTACGTCTGGACTAAACCGGGCTGCAGTCCTGCTCCGACCTTCAGTCCTTACACTAGAAGGTGGACCAGGTGGGCGGTTTTGTTATGATACGGCGCTGATGTTATAGAGGTGTTACGCTGTTGTTTTTACTGTTGACTGCATGGTCTCCTCACGTCTCTGTGGTTGGTCCGGATCAGACTCTTCATCAAGTAAGGACACTGTGAAGCAGTGATGTCATACCACTAAAAGCAGCTTACTGAAATGAACATGGACCCTCAAGTCTCCCTCTCTTGATTAATGGACAATGTCAATGCATCATATCTATAAGAAGACAACTGGAAAACGTGTCCATGTAATCCCCCTTTGCAGCATCCTACCACAGTCGGCATCGCTCTGAAGCTGCCTCTGTAACACACGTAGCTACGGGTGTGTCATCAGCAAGAACAGGTGCTGTACCTTCTTCCTCGGCCGTAGCTTCTCCCTCCACTCCTTGAGCTCCTGACTGTGCTCCTCGTCCAGTTCCTTCAGCTTCTGGGTCTCGTGTTCAATGAGTAGGTGGCACTTCTCATTCTGAAACGGACAGACATATGAAACATGTCACCGTGTCCAGGACTGCGTGTAACAGTAGGTCAGAAGAACCGGATCGGTACCTGGAGCTGCTGAAGCTCTCGGATGTTGGCGTCACACTGCAGCTGCAGGTCTCTCATCTGGTTTTCATGTTTCTGATGCTGATGGAGCCTCTCGTTCTTCTGCCTCTTCTCTTCCTGGGCTGCAAACTGGACAACAGAGACACTGTGAGGCTTCCAATTCTTTAAAAAAAGGACAGCAGGTCTGGTTCTCCATCCGAAAGGAGACAAAAGGGTTGGTTTTGTTGACATCCCATTCCGTTTGGTATCCCCCCCCCCCCTCACCTGTTTGACCTTCTCCCTCTCCTGCTCCGGGGTGATGGCGGCTCCGGTGATCCGGATGCTCTTCTTGAACATGGCCATGCGGGTCTTGGCGTCGCCGCGCTGGATCTTGGGCAGCCTGGTTCTCTCCTGCGTCTGCTTGTTCTTCATCTCCTCGATCAGACGCTGGTTGTAGCGCTGCATCTGCTCCATCTCCTGCACGGGCCACCAAGCACACACGGGACATGGAGAGTCCTTTCACGGGGGATCAATCAAAGGGCAGGAGTGAGGCCTGTCTGGGCCCGTACCTTCTCGTGTCTCTTCAGCAGCTGATGTCTCTGCATGAAGTACTGGTCTTTGAGCTGCTGCTTGAACAGCTGGTGTTTCTCCTGCAGATGGCGCTCTTCCAGCTCCCACATGGCAGCCTCCCGCGCTACCAAACAAAAAGACAGAACCAGCTCATCAGAGGAGCCACCTCCTCAACATTAAGCCTCTTTCTGGGTCCCTACGCGTCCTCCAGTGAGACGTACAGCGACAGCTGTGGCCTGAAGTGACCTTGATATCCTGAATTGAATATTTAACTTTGGTGATGACATTTCAGCTTTAAGGCTTTGAACCGTCTCACAGTCGTCAGGCGCCTGACGCTCAGAAATGTTCCTGTTGTGCAGCTCCCGTCCTTCTAAGCACAGATTAGGTCCCGGGCAGCGCTCCCTGCTAACGCGCTGCAGCAGTGTCAGTCTGAGAACATTTCAAGCTGGTTTACTGCCAATCAGACTCCCTAGTAGTCCATTGTATGAACCAAGCCAACGCGGCGTGGTAACCTGCCTGGAGAGGCATGAGGTAAGAGTTATACAAACACTAGGTAACGTATGCACATGCCCTGGGATCCCAGCCTCATCTCTATACTCCATTAGGCTTTGGGCCTCAGGCAGCAACGTGCGCTTCGACTGGATGATTAAACTCCAGACGGACCGAATGTTCTTAAACATGCACATCTGCTGCATGATGCGTCCCAGTGACCAGAAATAGATTAGTGATATTACATTAGCATAGGTAAGAGCAGCTGTTGTGCTGTCGGGAGAAGAAGTGAAATGGATGAACTTGATGTACACATGGGATTTTCTCCACCATCATAAATCGCGACAAAACATCCCAAACGGCTGTTTTCAGTACAAACTGAAATACATGAAGTAGGAAGTAATCTTCAAACTAACCGTAAGTGAGGATTTTTTTTGAAAGAGAGAAGTGAAATTGAGATGTTTCTCACCACCACATCATTCTGCGTGTATCATTGTATTCACGATGGACTATTGATAGTTAGAACACATGGACGTTGGTCGTTGGCTCCCTTGAGGGGAGAGAACGTTAGCGATGGAAAATGAGAGGCGGTAACAGTAGAAGGGTTTATTTTAGGACCACGGATGTTTAGTTATTGACTCCTGAGACGACCTTTGTGGAGAATAACAAGCTGCCTGCCGGCCTTAAAAAGGGCCTGCAGGGGTTGAGTCACAGGTTCAAAGCCGTGTTCACGCTGTGGAGGAAACGTGTCAAACTATCCCAATGATGAGGTGTTCTCCCGTGTGGAACCAGGGGAACGTTCCGGCTCACCTCGGAGCAGCTGCTGCTTGTGGTTGAGGCAGTCCCTCTCGATGGTGGCCAGCTCGTGTTTGTGCTGCTGGATGATCTTCTTCAGAGCCGTGTCCAGATCCTGCTGCTGCTTCTGAAGGAACTCTTGTTCCTGGACAAGGAGTACAGGTGACATGAGCAAAACAGGAAGCGGCTGCTCATCTACAATTCACTTAAGTTATCTGTGGGAACCTCGGAGCCTCCATGACGACAATCATCATCATAATAACAACAACAAGGAAGCCTTATCAGTGGGACACGTCGACACAGAGACCTTTCAACCAATCCTATAGGAAGCAGGATTGGCTTTATGAGGCTGTGTGTGTGTGTGTGTGTGTCTGTGTGCGTTCTTCTGCCAAGTTCCCCTGAGGCTACCAGCCAGACGCTAATAAACAGTGTGTGAAACGAATCAGCCGGCCTGCCTCACCCCCCACAGTTCTGACCAAAGAGAGAACAGTGACCACCTGTAATTTGATGATCTCTGAGGTACAAACCGTCTCAAACGGTCCAGACCGCTCACAGGATCATTGTCCTCATTGATTGTCCTCAGGCGGTCCCTTAACTGTGCTGTTAAAATGAGACTCTGGATGTCTGCAGGCAGGACTTGAACATGCAACATGGTGGAATTGGGTTATTAGCTCTGATGTGTCACAGTCCTCATGGATGCTCTCATTTACACACATGTGCTCCATGTGAACTCTAATCATTCACACAGACATCTGAAGTTCAGCGAGTTTGCTGCATCTGACGAAAGGGAGAGAGGGTCGTCGTGGCACACGGGTAGAGCGTGTGCGCTGGGAACCTCGGTTGGTGGTTCGAGTCCCGGCTGCCCCATGTCTCAAGTCGTGAGTTCTCTGAGCAAGACACCTAACCCCTAATGGCTCCCCGGGCAGAAATGTAAAAAAGCCATGAGTTAAAATAATGTAATGTAGTAAGTAATGTAAGTAATGTAATGTAAGTCGCTTTGGATAAAAGCGTCAGCTAAATGACCTGTAATGTAATGAAAACGTTGGGATGAAAATACCAACATGTTCTGAGTAGGTGGGTGTGGTCTAAAGAGTCGAGAGGAACATGGGGGTTTTATATCCACCCAGGAAGTATGTAAGAACAGAATGATGACATGGACCTCAGCGTATGACCGTACTACACACTGTACACACTCACTCTGAGCCTGTGGTCAACCAGAAGGACACTTTGGAAGAGAAAGGAAAGTCATAAAAGCAGATGTGTCAGCTGAATAACTGTGCATGCTGGGAAGTCTGTGTCTGTGTGTGTGTGTGTGTGTGTGTGTCACAGCTATAGACTCACAGCAAACCGTACCGACATTCCCTCCCCCGGCTAGATTGGATAATATCCTATTTAATAGATTTCAGGATTGTTTCACGTCAGGGCAGCCATGAGCAAACGAGAGAGTTGCTGTTGCCACTAACCAAATGAGAAGTGGCAGAGCTTCTGTGCAGCCAAACGCTGGTTTTGCACTGACATGACAGATCAGAGAGGCTTGTGTGTGGCAGAGTATCAGAATAACCTCCCATAAATAGGAAGGGTGCAAGCTCCCCTGCCCCCTGGGGGCGTGTGTGAGGACAAAGGGCAGTGAAGCGTGTGGAACGTGCCCACCTCTTTCTTGCGGTTCTTCAGCATGTTCTGGTGCTTGGACAGCTCTTTGTCCTGCTCGGCTTTGATGCGCTTGGCCTCGTCCCTGAGCCGGTTGGTGTGCTCCTGCTCCAGCCTCTCGATGGTCTGCTTCTGCTGCCGCTCCAGGTTCTCCACCTCCTGGTCGTACTGGCGCTTCTTGCTCTGGAAGACGGCGAGCGTCACGTCAGTTCAGCCAAACAGTTCATCAAAGAGGCAGCGGGATGCAAATAGGGAAGCACCAATCCATCAGCCACAGATTAAAACAACACACACACACACAGGCCACCTGACATGCAGCATCCCTTATTAATTAATAAACATAATATTACATTTACAACAAGGATTACAAGGATGAATACTTCTACAGGGGAGGCTCTGGAGTGAAGAAACGGTCATTGTCCGATCTTTAAAGTTTTGTGATACAGTGTATCATCGAGCTAAAATAACATTCTTTCACACTAAAACTACTTCCTGCTCCAGGAAGAGCTGCCAGAAGCTCAGAGTTCAGGTTTAAAAAGGATCAGCGCGTAACATCTAGAGAAGGTAATTGGTGGCAATGGAGTAGCATTTCCTCTCGTTATGATCAGTGTATAATCACCTAAACTCGTAGTATTTAGGGTGGCTTAAGGAGAACCGATCAACACGCTGCGGATCAGAACCGCCGATTAACACGGTGGCCACCGCGCCCAGCAAACAGCACGTAGCCGAGCAGCTCCGCTCGCTTCGCTGATAAAAGAAGATGAAGACGTCCGATGACGGCAGAGATGATGATGCTGAATCTTCTAGTCCTCTCATTCCCACGGATGCTCGGGGCACCATGGAGGCTGGTTAACCAGTCACACATTGATGCAAGGAGCAATTTGGGGTTGAGTGTCTTCCCCAAACGCAATGACCAGAGGAGCCAGCAATCAATCCGCCACCCTCACATTCAACAACCCACGACCTCAGAGCCACAGCTAGTGGTGTAATTTAAATGTGACGGATAGTTTTAATAATTACAGGAAATATGATGTTAGTGAAAGGGTGAAGGGGCTGTTCGGATGCATCCTCGGTGGGACTCACCGTGGTCTCCTGCTCAAAGCGCCGGAAGATCTGCTCCTTCTGCTGCTGCAGCTTGTTGCTGAGCTGCTGCTGGGCCCTCTGCTCCTCCTTCTGCAGGAAACGCAGCTCCCTCAGCTCCTGGCGTCTGCACAGGAGGAGAGATAGGAGAGAGACGATGGTCATCTGTGCATTGTTTGGGCCTAAACCGGGGGACCGCTGATGGAGACAGGCTGAACACCGAGGTTACTAAGCAACCGTGATGTTTGTACCGAACGGAGGCAGGTCAATACCTCAGGAACCTCATCTCCTCGTTCTTGGTGTCATTATCAGTGATGATCTTTGATGTAGTCACACTAACTTCCACGCCGTCCACAATGAATTTGCGAGTCTTTTTCAACGTCTTCTTCTGGCGCTTGTTGTCCTGGAGAGAAGAAGAAGAGTGAATGCATGTTTGTGTCGCTGTGCTGAGCGGGGACTGTGAGGGATATAATGTGTGTATATATATATATATATATATATATATATATATATATATATATATACACACACACACACACACACACACACACCTGTATGGAAACAGATCCCGGCTCCTTTGTCTTGGACAGAAAGCTTGAGATGGACAGATTGAGGTCGACACTGCTGTTATCTGCAGCTGAGCTGCCCCCCGAGTCAGAATCTCTCTCTTTGTCATCCTTGGCTTTGTCTGGAACCGTCTTCTCATCTTCTGCGTTCAGCTTCTCCTTCTCTGTGGGCTTCTCATCATCTTCCGTCTTTGGAACAACTTTTTCTTGCTCCGGTAGTGTCAGGGTCACCGTGAGATTTTTGTAGCGGTCTTTCTCCTCCTCTTCCTTCTCCTTCTCTTCCTCTTCCTTCTCCTCCTCTTCCTTCTCCTCCTCCTCCTCCTCCTTCTCCTCCTGCATGGGTGCGTTTGACTCCTCCACAGCACTCATGTTCTCTTCGTGAGGAGCCTCAGTGACCTCTGAACCCACTTCGGTGCCCTGTGGATTGGCTGGAACCTCCGATGTGTCGACTTCCTTTTCCTCCTCGACTGCAATCTCCAGCTGCTGCATTTCCTTGGCAGGGGCCTCTGGTTCTTCTGCTTCTGGGGGCTTCTCCTCCAAACCTGCATCCTCATCCGGAGTATTTGAAGTCTCCTCAGCTACAGGCGAAGCGACCTCCTCAACAAAGCCAGTGTCCACCACATGGTTGGCCACAGGGAGCTCAGTGGGAGTGGGCTCAGCCCGCTCAGGGACCGACTCCAAGCCGGACGGGGAGACGGGGATCTTCTCGTCCTCTGAGCTGGCGAGGCTGACGTTGGAGGGGGCTCGTTTGTGGCCCTGGAGCAGCGGTAGAGACAGTTAAAGAAGATTAAAAACAACAGCAACGTACCACGTGTGTAAATATCAATTAGCCCGTCGCTGGATCAACCAAAAAACAATCTGCTTAACAGAATATCTTTGAGTTGGTTAATGATAAATGAAAAAAATTGTTATATGAAATACTTTTTGCAATGGACATTCAGCTATTAAGAATGTTCAGACTTATTTTAAAATAAATAATAGTCCTCTGATGGTAGGAACGTTGTATCGACTAATCCATTTAGCACCTCAGCTCTAGAAAAAAAGTCAAACTACCAACAAGTTCCTTTTGCAATTGTTTACACACCAGGTGTGCTTCCGTCTCGTCCTCCTCTTCTTCCTCTTTGTGGTCTTCAATCTCCTCTGTGACCTCGGCCTTTGCCTCAGCGATGAGCTCCCTCAGAGGCCGGCTGTCAGTCACGCTGGACACAAATGAATGCTGTGCAAAACAGTTCCACCATTAATAACACGATAGTGTCTCCAGCTCAACAGCAGGTGCACAGGGATGTTGCAACGACGGCTCTCTGACATAGTCGGCGGCGAGGACTCCCTCTAATCCCATCGACTTTGAGATACAAATAGTAGAACAGACTGTTCTGTAAAAAAGCACACTAAACAATCCCGTCTTTGCTCTCACACTGTATCAACATGTCCGCACCAGCTCACCTTCTTTGGCGTAGAAATCTGCTGCACATATTCTATCGCTGGCCTAAGGATATGCAGCTTCTTCGATATCAAAACCTTCATCGGTGGCAGACCGGCATGTTGTATTTTCAAGCCCATGGATTCTTCCTCTGTACAGCAGGATTAGGAAATCTATTTCTTTATGTGTGTCCTCGCTGCTGCTCAGTAAACAAGTGGCTTCGACTCAACGAGCACCTTAAACCCTCCTTAGAAAAGCTGCGCTGCTGACGTCGGCGTGTCGGTGTTACCTGACACGGACAGACGGGTGGACAGACTCCGAGAGGCAGCTGGTGCATGGGTATGGGATGGGAAGGAGGATTATCAGTCCACTTTGGTGGACGCCTACGGGGCTGTCTGGCTTGCAGCAATGCCTTTGTGTCTGATCCTATCAGCATCCTGTGAGGATCTCCTGGTAGCTAGGGGCGTGGCTTAGGTGTGTGCGTCAGCCGACAGGAAGGAGACTTTTGGGATTAACAATGGCGGCTCTTGAAGAGGTGAGTGTTGAAGCTGCAAAATCCTCAGTTCTTCATTGAAAACACTTTTCTACAACCGCGCTTTGAGGAGAGTTCATCAACACAGTGTCTGGAGGGGTCGCTGCCTGTGGGGCCAATGCTCATAAACACCACCAATGATGAGTGGGGAGAACGTTCAAAGAAAGGTACCTGCAGCAGCTGTGTGGGGCTCCATCTGTTGTCCACATGCTTGTCCAAACAGCGCTTTAAGAAGTCACTGAATTCTGGGGACCTTGAGAGTGAACAAAAGAGAGAATGACTCTTCTCCATCACCTGTGCATATTCTGATCTCAGGTGCAGGTACGAGTTACGAACACGCGGCCGCTGAAAGCCGGGACTCACCAGCGGGACGGCTGCATCAGGGTCGGAGGATCCGCCTTGGCTATTTTCAGCAGGACTCTCATGGGGTTCATCTCGTGATTGGGCGGCTCAACCTGTGCCAGCTCGATCAACGTGACCCCGAGGGACCAGACATCCGCCTTGTAGTCGTAGGGACGGTCCTTGGACGTCTCGCACATCACCACCTCGGGAGCCATCCTGGAAGGACGCGAGGAAAGTCACCGATGAGGAGTTCACGGCGCTCAAGAAGGACCGACAAAACGGTTGCCATTGACTACGACGACATGTTTTAAATGGAAACTCAACTCACCAGTAAGGCGTCCCAATGAAAGAGTCTCTCCTCTGCAGGGTTTTGGTGTTTTTGGCAGACACACCGAAGTCGGCTGGCAAAGTCAAGGCAAACGACATATTTGTCAGTGTGATCAAACTAAACCAAACAGTGCGCAGCACAACTGCTCCTCTCATCACTGCGTGAACAGAGACGGAACAATGAGCCGTTGTGACGTTGGGTGAACACGGCGGCTCGTCGGCGTCGTGTGGGAGCTCGTTCCTTCCACCAGAGTGACTCCCTGCACACACACTGCACCTGTTGCAGGTCCGTCTACACACTGAGCAGCCACTGCTATTGTGCACGATGCTCACTAATTCATTGAGACCTCTGCAGCGGCCAGGCAACAGAAAAAAAAAAGGTTCACACCAAGTCTGCAGTTTGTTATCCAAAAGCGCTCAGGGGGAATAATAAATATGACCTCATGTGTCAATCACTCACTACATCCTTAAAGTCTTATGTTTTGTTAGCCTGAGAAACAGTTATCCCTCTACACACATGCATGGGGCCTTAACAACAGCAGACAAATAGACAAAGGATAATAGATTAGTTTAGCCCCTCGCCTAACGCTGTTGAGTTGCATCATGAGGAATGGCTGAGGGAACCTGTGTAAACCTTTGCCATATGCAGACATACATGCAAACATTTCTAATACAAATTTTAAAGATGACATTTTGGACTAAATCCATTTGTGAGTCAAATTTGATTGAACAACAAGAGCCTGAAGGTTGAATAAAACCATGTACCTGATCACCCCCCCACTTCTAAATGTGGGCCTGTATCGCCCTGCTATAGTGTGCATGTAATTATTATGTATTTGATCACGTCGGGCTGAGAGAAAAAAATATTTGGTTTACAATAGCTAAATACACCCGTTGCAAAGAAACACAGCATGTAATGCATTCCATGCATCTTTAAAATATAGTTTTGAAATATTATTGCTCAGCCTTTCATTTACATAAATAACTTATTTATGAGAAGTCGCCCAACTGGCGCTTTTTGATGGATCACAAAGGCGTACTTTAGTGTGGACGTACATACATCCTACTCACTGCTGTAAAGGTGAGCCTACTCTATACAAACAAACTTGGTATGAAAGTGAACATGGCTTCAGTTTACCGAGTAATCAATATGCTCGGTGATGACAAAGACGTTCAGAAACCACACAGCGGTTTAGGTTACGTTCCTGGTAGACAACGTTCCCAACTGGCCTCCAGGGTCCAGCTGAGTGAGGCCTACATAGTCCTACTCTCAACTACATTCAAGTTCCCTGTTATATGCTTTTGCAAAAAGAAAATGCTAAAAGTTTCCCATATTCCCTTCAAGGCGAAGCTTAACTTGAAGGTTTCCCCTTAACAACCCTGCTGTGATGTCACGAGAGGCCCATTAGAGCTTTGTGCGTTTAAAGTGCGTCAAAGTGCTCGACTTGTTTTTATGCTCACACAAGACCACATGATGCAGCCACTGGACACAGAGCATCTGTGCGTGGCACCCTGAGGACAAACACTCCCCTAGAGGACGCTTATTGCAGAGACAATGAGAACTCAGTCATGGTTTGGACTGGGAGACAATTGACCCTACTTTTTAACGGTCTCCTGTATGCATGAGACAGATTACAGTGGTCCTGCGGGTGGGATTGTCACCGTATCACTTGTGTGCATGGTGGAGGACAGTTTGAGACTCCCTGTTGTTGACTCGGCCCTTACCCAGCTTGACGTCCCCGTCCAGCGTGAGCAGGATGTTTCCAGCCTTCAGGTCTCTGTGGATGATTTTGTTGTCGTGGAGGTAGACGAGGGCCAGCAGAGTCTGCTGACACACCACCCTGATCTGAGGCTCGGTCAGAGGTCTCTCCAGCTCTACGTGGGATCACAAGACACATGCTTAGAACTCACACACATGCAACCTAATCATAGATAGTATGAGATGAGCTGCCTTCACTGTATCACTGTACAAAGAGTGTAACGTGGACGTGCTACACAAGTCTTTTGATGTCTTTAATCAAGTTTCCACTCAGCTGAATACTCCCTCTGGCAAAGAGTTACAGGGCAGATATCTAGGGCTTTTATTGTGAAAGGTAAGAAGGAGTGGATCTGGTCTGCTGTCTTTGTCATGGTTGAAATTAATAATAATGTTGGATAGTTTGGTTTGGGTCGCTGTACTGTGCCAACATGGAGTGATGATATTATCTGTGTTCTGTATGAAGGCATTAATGCCAATTCTTCCAACAATATCATTTGATGTGTAGACCTCACACTTTATCCCTCTCACGTTGCTGTTCAGTGTGTACAGTTAGACAGCACCTTTCTTTTCCACATTCTAAGCTGTATGCAAAGTGAAAGTGCTGACTCACCAAGCATGACTGCATCCACAGCCCCTCCTGCACAGAACTCAATGAGGATCTACAGACACCGGCAGGGGGAACACGCAGTTAGTGTTTGCTCATGTAAAACAGCGTGCATCAAATAGTCTTGATGAAAGTAAATAGTGGGTGTTTCAGAGATGAGGTGACGCAGCGTGCTGCCGTGGGGGGGTCTGGAAGGTTCTCAGAGAAATGCTCGACCGTGTAATGACACGCATTGTGCACCTGCAGAGCTGAAAAGGGGAGCGACCCCTGCATGGAATAAAGCTGTCCGAGAAGGAAGCTCCACCCAGCCTGCATGAATGGAACAGACTGAGGGCGTTGAGCAGCTCGCGGTACGGCTCTTGGTGTAAGAGGATTGGCCCACTTAGGGGCCACGTCGTGGAAGAGGTTCCACACGGCCGTTGGGTCACTAGCTGGCTACACGGCCAGACTTCAGCCTTGTGCTCTAAGTAGGATTAAAGTTTCTATGGACGCAGCGGCAGTGTGATTAGTAGGTACGGTAGAGCATCTGGAACACAGGGCACAACGTAGAGCCAAAGTCGACACATTCGGGAAGAGGAAGTGAAGCACGCAATTCTGCTATTTTGCAACCATTGGGAAACGCATTGTGGTTGATATGTTGGTTAATGCCTCGCTTATGTCACAGATACTAACTCTCCCATTTCCCTCAAAAACTTGACTTTTCATCAAGGATCAAGGGCAACAACCCTTTATTCAGTTGAACTTTTCAAGACTGTTCTACTTCAACACCAAAGGGAATACAGGAAGCACAATGCCTCAAGTCTCACAGCAGTCCACCCCCCCCCCCACACACACACACACACACACACACACAAACGCACCCCCACACACACACACACGCAGTTGTTTTAGCGGCTCTGCTGTTCTACAATGGCCCCACAGTGGTCGCCGCCCTACACACAAACACGTTGGCGGTTACTAATCCATTCATGTGGCGCACTGGGGAGGACGTGAGACTAAATGTGAGCTCGCCTAAATTAGCACCACGTCAGCAGAGCCTTGAAACTTTTTGCTATGCAACTGAAACGGGAAACGTAAGGTCAAAGGATGACCCAGTTCAGATTGTTGCTCTAAAGTCCCCTCCCAAACCGTCCACAGCCTTTCATCTCCAGGAGGACAGCTCATGGACCCTGTCCTCTCTGATGAGCTGGTTCACAGGCCACCTCCATCAGGCTATGCATTGTTCAGAGGACAATGGGGGGAGGGAACACCCAGGTGATCAGTTTATAAAGACCGCCCTGCCTTCTTTGATGCTGGTGTACAGACTCGCATGAGTGTATGTGTTTCTAGACATTACACACACACACACACACGCACGCACGCACGAACGAACGAGTCTACAGCACTACATTTTTAAATCCACCAATGCCTCTGGGGTGTGACGCACAAAATCAGACTGTGTTGCAAGGAATATACCAACTGGTTCCCAAAGATAACACAAGACCACGTTCTAAAGAAAGGAAGAAAAAGAGCATTTAAATAAGCTGAAATCAGCAGCCGTAAACCGGTGTGATGATTAACGGCCCTAGAAGCCGCTTGTTTCTGCTGTTCGTGTGAACTTTGGCCTCATGTTTCAACATGAATACGTTTATAAAGCCTTGCTGTGATAGTGTAGTCTACGCCTGGCCTTCCTCTTATCTGAGGTCGGGTCACGGGGTCAGCAGGGTCAGCGCGCTAGCCGGTTCCCTCCCCAGCAACACGTTCAGCTCTCCCTTCCCAGTCCTAACAAGACATGTGATCCCTGCGGCGGGTGCTCGGTGTACTCTCACTATCTGGACGCGCACAGAACCCCTCTAAGAAGGGACGAGGACCCTGAAGTCAGTGGCTCGACCCCCAGCTCTCTCTGGGTGACGGAGCGCCTCCACCTGTCTGGGAGGCTGAGGCCAGCCACAATATGAAGGAGGCTCCTTTCAGCTGCTTGTACGCCAGAGGTGCCATTCTCTCGCTCATCACCCACAGCTGACCACCAGTCCAGTAGAACGCCTCCATCTCTGGCTACACCTTCCCCTCACAGGTGGTACTTGATTTAGAATATCAACAATGGTCTCATTTGTGTTTAACCACAGGAGCTTTTCCAGTCAGTGCACACGTTCCTCTACTGGAGATGACTCACCCACAGTTTGCTCTCATAATAGAAAGCGTCGAGCAGTTTGACGATGTTTGGGTGGTCGCAGGAGGCCAGGATTTCAATCTCCACCATGTAGTCTTCCAGCTCCTCCTCGGTCTTTGTGTCGATAACTTTGGCTGCAGCCAGAGTTCCCGTCTGTTTGTTTTGGGCCTGTAGGATGAGAACACCATCAGGCGGGTGGATGTCAAAGCGCAGTTATTCAGCTCTTTATTCCCCTGTGCTCTGATCTACTGCAGAACATTTCACTGTTCAGGATGTACTTATGCGATGTTAAACACACACACACACACGGAGACGATCTACAACCACTAAATAAACCCAGTCTGCTTTGCTGTAGGCCACAATGAGTTTAAGTGGACATTTCTCCTGTTTGTTTTGGCTTCTCTGCAGGCAGGATGTGCTCAATAGAGTCACTGCTGCAACATGGGATGCAGCCACTTCCTGATGACCCGCCCAGGTTCCACGGTCAGCCACACACACCCTCCAAAAACACCAAGACACTCATAATGTACTCGTCACTGGTATTGTACTATGAATCAACAAGGAAGACTATCGCAGTGATGGCTCAGTGCAGTTTGCCGATGGTAGACCCCCACCCCCCCGCCCGTGGGACAATCCTCAAGTGCTTCCACAAAACCACAACGGTTAAGGATCCGCTTTGGTACTTAGTCTCTTTCTTCAACAGTCGGTCTAGTTAGCGTGAGCCTCGTCTGTTGGAATGCTGGGAAATTGGCAACATGTGATGAAATTGTTGCGAAAAGATTAGGATTAGTATGATACAATTTAACACTGGGGGGGGGATTGAGATCTTGAGTTAGTCCAAAAATAGCATTTGGCAACAAAGAGCCAAGCAGTCCATGTAAACCGTGTTGATCAGCCACACACTTCCTGGTGTCGGACCGGGTCGAGCCGTCCTGTCAGAGAACATTTACTGTCTCTCATGCAAATGGAGCTCGTGGCATCGGAGTCAAAACAAACGAGGGCTCGATTTAAGAATGATGAAATGGGGAGGGGGGGGGGGGGGGTGCTTTGATATTAGGTCGTGTTTCTGAAGATCTACAGGCAGAAATATTCTAAAAAACACCTGAATGTGAAAAGCCGTGTCTCATACCTGTACTCATAAGACAAATATCATGTCCAAAAAGTGCTTAATTGTCAGCTGTTTCCAGCCATGAGGGCATGTGATGACGTTTGGATGTAAACAACCCTCCCAGGAGACTGCTGAGCCCCCCCCCTCCCAGTCTTATGTTCAACCACCTGGGCACAGGTGTACCGGCCTGAGGGGTCACGTGGTACCTGGTGTCCGGATACAGACAGAGGACAAGAGGAAGGCCACTGACTACAAAGAGCCGCTGTGAAGGAGACATGTCCTACCTTGAACACTTTCCCAAAGGCTCCATCTCCCAATTCACCGATTATGTCCCATACTTCCTCCGGATTCTCGTCTCTGCGCACGTGCTCGTACTGTTTCTTCTTCTTCTCGGCTCCGAGCTTAAATATTTTACGGAAATTAAAAAACGACATGCTAATGCCTACGGTCCTTCGATGACAAAGTCGACAAAGGAACTCCAGAGTATCGTTGCTCGCGCAGTCGGAGAGACTTTAGTGGCGGTCTTCGGAGCGGTACTCGTGTCCCGGGAGTCAGAAGCAGCCGCTTGGATAACGCAACGTTAGTACGTTAGCTTTCATAATAGTTCCTAACCTAGCATAGCCCTCGACACCGCTTTGGCTGGTCCGGAGAACGGCTCTTTGTCCCGGGTCATCGTAAACCCGCTGCCGTTAAATGAACACGGTCTACGGTGGATGCAGACGTCCCCTCGCATCCGTTACCCGCCCGTAGAAGACTTTGTTCTGGCGAGAAGCAGTAACGTTAATACGCAGCTCGTCGTCACCAACTGGCCCGAAAACCCCCGTGGGGCTCTTTCTCCACCCAAAGAAACAAAAGATGAGTGAGGCGTCCTCCCAAGTTGTTGTGTTCCGCCGGACACTTCGTCCGTTTGTTGCGGCTGAAGGCGCTCGCGGCACTGCGTACGTTAACGTGAGCTACAGCGGCGGAGAGAAGACAACGGTCATCGTTCCCCCGGTGAGACGCGGTTTAGTAATCTAGCGGATTTAGTCCGTGTGCGCGCTCCCGCGGGCGCGCGGCCCGCTTCTTTCTTTCTCGCCCTCGTGCTTGACAGTTGGCGGGTTAACGTCAGCCGTCTGCCGCCCTCGTCCGCCTGGGCGACCAAACGCTGCGTTACACCTATAGTTTTATTTATGGGAGAAGAAACACTGCGATTAAACCTTTTAGTTTTCTTAATGGGAGACGAAACACTACGTTTACACCTTTTTAGTTTTCTAAATGGGAGACGAAACACTACGTTTATATCTTTTTAAGAAGTATTTCATCCGGAAACACGAGCGGTCTACTACTACTATCTTCCACCATCAGCTCAACAAACGCTTCAGTCGGGTCCCTTTGTGTCCCACCAACTACATGTCCCACAAACCATTGCGAGAAACGACCGCGTCGCACGGGCAGTAACATGGTATAATGCCGCTTCTAAACACATCAATATCTTAAGGCTGTCTTGCTAACGTGTTGTCCGTGTGTTAGTAATGCATCAGATTATACGTTACACACATTTAATGTGACTCAACGACACGTCACGTGACCACTGCCCCGGTGCTCAGTCCGCTGGTTCCCCGCCGCGGAAGCAGACGCAGATCTTCCACCATGACATGCAGCGGGCCGCGATGGATCCAGCGGAGGAGCCCCCGTCCATGCTGTGGGGACTGGACCCGGTCTTCTCCGCCTTCGCCAGGCTGTACGTCAGAGACATCCTGGTGATGACGGAGTCTACGCAGGTGCCAGGTACCGTTAGCGACTTAGGAGTAAATACGTAAACAGCGGCTAACGTTAGCCGGACTGTGTTTACACGTTGGGGCTTCACGAGGAGCGCTGCAGGTCTCACGTGGCCAAACACGACGATCCTCCACAGAGTGACGTCAGCTAACGTGACTGTGACGGTCTATTATCTACTATAAGTTAACTTTCGACACGTTATACAACATTTGCAATGTACGATATACATCCTTCTGTATATGTTAAGTCTCGGGTTAGTAAAAATCACATTGCTTACAAGATTGTTTTTTGAAAAAACATAACTTCATTAAAACTTTACAACATGAGCGCTGTAGTGTGCAACAGGACAAGCTGCCTGTCAGCAGGATCCCAACAACCTTTTAACATTTATAAATGTTTTCATAGAAAAGAACTATGTATGCATATATTTGTTTCAAATGTTTGGACACACTTCTCAGGATACTAAATGGTACATTAATTGAAACACCATATACATGTATAATGTTTCAATTAATGTACAATTTATTATTAGTATCATTACTGTTTTTTTTACTCCCCTGATTTTGACAATGATCATAATGAATACCTTTGTCTCACAGGTATTTACTTCTACAAACTGCATCCCATCTATAAAGTAGACGTTCTCGGCACAGTGGTTTACAAGAGAGAAAGAGATGACTTCTTCTGTTACGGAGGTGTGTAACAATCTCATCCACCCATCCATCCATCGTCAAACCGCTTATCCTGCACACAGGGTCGCGGGGGGGCCTGGAGTCCATCCCAGCCAACTTCGGGCGATAGACAGGATACAGTGCCTAATTAGGCTGCCTGTGGCTGGTGAAAGGGAGCTCAGCTTTCCAAAAAAATCAATCAATAATTACTCTTTTCACATTTCCTTCCCTTAGTCTAGTATAAAAAGTTGTTTCATATGAAATGTTTATGTGTGACAAATATATTACAAAAATAAAAAAAAACAGGACAGGGGTTTCACTGGACTGTGAATGCTGTCTCTGGGGGACATTTTGGGACCCATTATGCCATTTTTGGCAAAAAGCGTCATTCTGCCAGGTTGGGGATGAACATTGATAAAATCTCTGACGATGATCCAGTTTCTGTTGACATTTCATCAACCCCCCCCCAAATCACGATCACAAGCCAACACACATTTAGAGAATAAGTCTCCTTTGTTCCCAGTGGACGATGGTACTGGTGTGATAAACTGCCTCTGCTGGAAGAACGACCTGTTCAAGGAGGAGGACCCTGCCCCATGTGAGTTGGCAAACGCAGCGTTTAACTGCTTATATGAGCCTTAGTTGAGTTTGTCATGTAAATAAATTCAATGTTTATTAGTGCAGCCTAATACTGGAGAATCATTATACATTAGACGCTGCATACACACAATGTCATTCGTTCATGTATCACCACAAGCCACTGAGTGCCCTTGCATAGAAATCTTTCATCTCCAGCAGGAGCACAGCACAGTGACGGGGCTCAAGGAGGCTTCAACCTGGTCGCCGAGCTAAAGAAGCTGAGAGAGACCCAGAGGAGCCGCTGCCGCCTGGAGATCGGAGAGCTGCTCCGGGTGAGGGGGCCGGTGAAGACGTCGAGGCAGCAGAGAGAAATCATGGCCTCCACCTTCTGTGAGTGGACGGCGCTCCCCTGCAGACCACCACCGTCCACTTTCACAATGTAGCGTGCGGCTGTTCCCACCATTGATGTCTTGGTGTTCCCAGACAAAGTGGACGACCCGGTGATGGCGGTCCAGCTAGCGTGGATGATGGACGTTCCTCAGCTCTACAGACTGTGCTATGACAAACCGCCACAGCTTCAGCCTGATGCAGCAGGGTACAAACATTCATCTCTTAATGGACCATCACAGCAGCATGCAAATATTTACAGAAAGTTGGCGAGAGTAAATGTTTTATAATGAGTTTCAATCCACTTACGAATATTGGTGTCAGTCAAAGTTCAAACAGTGGAAAACAGTGTAGAATGCTAAATGGACTTTTTATAGCACACGACCGTTCAAAGTCTTCCCACTACGCGTCATTGCTCACACACACATTATACAAGCCCCTACTTGTGATTGACAGGTGGCACCACGGCGCTTTAAACTTTCCTCCTCTCCCAGAGAGTTTTAACACTTAATGATTCGGTCATATTTAGTGTTTTTTTCTTAACTTCACCCTCTCACGTTCCTGCTGGTTCTAAAACAACATGAGGGTGACGGAGAAGAGTCCAAACTCTAAGCTACATATCTCCCATCAAGCTAGTACATATCAGGTGGGTTGAAACTCACTAGGACCAGGATGTGTGATAAGTGGTGAACACTGATGTACAACGCATACTCCCAGATGTTTGAATTGGACAGAAAATGTCTTGCATTCCCATAAAACATGTGGAATAATTGACATAACTTTCGCACACTGGCTGCACAACGCAGGCTCTCATCTGTCATCCATTCTGTCAACATGTGCGTAAGCATTGCTCTCAACTGTATCACAGACACATTGTTTTCCTCTTGTTCAGTGACTCGCCCATCAGCTCCGTCGGCAAGGCAACGAATATCATCAAGGATTTCTTTAAGCAGAAGTCGGTGACCAGGTTCAGACCCTATGATGTTCAGGACCTCCTGCAGCCTCTGATCACCTGCCAGCCTCAAACCGCGAGCGCAGACCAGGTACAGCAATGGAATCCTTTCTCTGTGTGGTGGTGGAACCAAAAGGAAAATCTTGACAAAAAAACTGCATTTGAAGTGTCCTTATGTGTGAACGAGGTGAGCAAACGCAGCTGGGATGTCACCCCTAGCATAGAGGCTTGTTTGTATTCTTTTATGGGACACGTCATCCATTCATCAAGAGGACATCACACTGAGGTGTCTCCGTGTAGCAGCATTTTGAGAGCAGAACATTCTGGAGGTCTAAAAGTGTAAAACAAACGTAGCGTCGTGTCAGCTCTGTTGTGTCACTGTCGCTGTGAAGGAGCCAGTGGCAGGTCCGTCCGCATGCCAGCAGCTGCGGCAGCTTCTGAAGGAGGCGCTGCAGGTTCTACAGGACGAGGGAGTCGTGTACCGCAAGGTCAAATCCCAGGACGAAGTCTATAATGTAAGGACCATCAGAGACGTCTCCATTCCACCCGTCACTCCCCAGTTGGTCACGTTAGTGAGGACTCCTGCTGTTGCCCCCTCGCAGGTGACGGCACGTGACACAGATCTGCTCATCGCTGTCAAGGACGTTATCAGAGAGGACTCTCGGAGAGAAAAGTGTAAGTGCGCTTCCTCCTGTTGCTCTTGATTAGTGGAAACCGGTTCCAGCATTAATGTGGATGTCTCATGAGTCTTGGTGGTAAATGCAAGGTGTGTGTGTGTGTGTGTGTGTGTGTGTGTGTGTGTGTATTAGGATCGAACAGAGTGTTTTCTGCCATAGAATGGGGGAAATAAAGCTCAACTTCTTATCGTCTTTTGAAAAAGCAACCGCCGCGAATTCCCCTTTTCGCTGCGAAGCCTCGGTTTCCTGCGTGCTGACGGGTGCTTCCTCCTGTGCTCGTAGATGCAGAGAAGGGCTGCCACATCCTGCACGTCCTGTCCGCGGTCCGACAGCGCCACAGCCTGAACGTGAGCAAGGCCACCCTGCAGCTGGTCCTCAAGTCCCTGGAGTGCAACAGCGACATCGTCAGCACCAGCGAAGACCATTACACCGCGTTTTAGTGTTACTCCGGATACTACGTGTGCTACGGCGTATTGCTCCACAACGCGTGGCTTTTGCCAGTTTGAAATGACTGCTGCATAAGGACATGTGAAAGGGAAGGTTTCAGGACGACTTTATCATTGTAGTAAACGTTCATGATCGAACATTGAGTTTAATGGGAAAGAAATGACAACGCGGGGCTCATGCATGGCTGGATTAACCCGCTAGAGAGGCACCCGGGGCCAGAATGTAAGCCCTCTACACGCCAGGGAAGTTTATTTTATGCCGATATAGTTACCATCTATTAGGACTATTTGTTTTTTTCAAATTGGTTTTGGTCACAGATAATTAAATGCATAGCGAGTCTATATATATAAAATGTTCATTCAAACCATGCTCCGAAATACCAATAAACTATGCATCACGGAAAGAGTTCCACTACGCGTTTTCTGTGACCAGGTCATTACCTGAATAACAATGCTACCTAAATCATAAAACGTAGATCTCACTGATAATTGAAGGACAATGTTAAAGAGCTCTGAACATCAAACAGTTCTGAACCTGCCTTTATCCAACATGCAGATGCACGCTCACCGTCCACCTTACAAGGTTTGACCCCCCCCCCCCCCCGTTGCCTTCAGAACTGCCTTATTTCTTTGTGGCATTGGCAACATTCCTCAGGTCTTTTGGTCCGTATTGAAATGAGAGCATCACACAGGCCGTTGGAGTACAGCGAACTTGTCATGTTCGATAAGCCAGTTTGAGACGATACGAGCTTTGTGACGTGGTGCATTATCTGCTGGCCATCAGCAGATGGTACACTGTGGTCATAAAGGGATGACCATGGTCACCAACTGTCCGTAGGTAGGCTGTGGAATTTAAACCATGCTCAAATAGTAAGTTAGTTAAATATCCATCACACCACCAGCAGCCTGAACCGTTGCTACAAGGCAGGAAGGATCCAAGCTTTCATGTTGTTTAAGCCAAATTGTGACCATCTGACTGTCACAGCTGACATTGAGACTCATCAGACCAGGCAACATGTTTTCAATCTTGTATTGGTGAGCCAGTGTAAATGATGGTCTCTGTTTCCTGTTCTTAGTTAACAGGAGTGGCCCTTGGTGTGGTATTTTTTAGAGTGTTTATTTGAGTTACGATTGGAAACATTCTCCTCTTCCTCAACAAGGCATGTTGGTCCACACCACTTACTGGACAAGTTCTCTCTTTGGGACCATCCTCCGTACACGCTGGAGATGGTTGTGCGCCAAAACCCCAGTAGATCAGAAGTTTCTTGACCTACTCAGACCAGTCCGTGTGGCACCAACAACCACATTCACTCAAGTCCCCTTTCTGAATTTCAGCTAGTTGTCTTGACCACGTCTACACGCACAATGTGGCTGATTAACACAAATTGCTAGTGTATGTTGTTTACTGTATGGACACCAGCTAAATAAAAATAAAGCACATTTAAGCATGTGAAATTAAACATTATTGTATTAATGAAAGAGGTGACATCATTGGCGTGTCACGGCGGCCGCTGGTGCGCGCGTCGCTGCGTGCACGGGGGGGCAGTGTTCCGTCGTTAATTGGCTCTCTCCTGGAGGGCAGGCGGCCGCTGATTGGTCAGCTTGTAAACATCTGTATCCATATCTCCGGCCAGGGAGCAGCGCGTGAGTCAGAGCGCGGACGGCGCTATCCCGACTCCGAACGCCCGGCCCGCGCGGAGGTCCGCTGACATGCAGCGGCGCTTCACTGTCGTAGAACGCGGGAGGACGAGCTGCGTTGGCCCCGAGGGGATGACCGACATGATACGGACACGCCGGCCCCCCGCTGCCCGAGGACGGAGCCCCGCGCTCGTGCCTTTTGCTTTATTTCTTATCTAGGTGGCCTCGAGGACGTCCGCGTGAAGCCCGTCCCACCGGGTTCCCCCTAAATTGCCCCGGCTCGCGCCGAACCACCGGGGGTTCCGCCCGGCTCCCTCCCGAGCGCACCGCCCGCCGGAGGCTCCCGGCGTGCGGCTGTCCCCCCGCGATAGGCACCGCGGCAGACACAAAGGACAGCCGCTCCGCGCCGCCTCTTCCACGCGCCGGGTCCGGCTGACACCGCTCAGCGATGCATGTCGGGATCTCTCTCCCGCGATAGGAGGCGGCTGATCCGGAGCAGCAGCAGCGGCCTGTCTGTCGCGTCCATGCAGAGCCTCTGCAGGGTCAAGATGCAGTTCCGGACGGTGCTGGACGTGAAAGTCGTGGACGTGGAGAAGAGGCGCAGTCCGTCCAAACACTACGTGAGTCCTCTTGTTCCCCCGCGGCCCGCTCCCAGAGAGGAGTTAGCAGACGCAGTCCATCGGCTGCAGGGAGCCGCTGTCACGCAGCATCAACAGCATTGTGACTCCCAGCAGATGTGTTCTGACCGCAGCCCGGAGCTTCGACCCCCGAGGTCAAGGTTTCATTCATGGAGAAGTAGAATTAGCGCGTATCGTAACAGGTCCCGGGTTGAGATAACCACCAATAATCCAGGTGTTGTCTAGTCTTCTTCGTGGTTGGCACCATGTCTGAAATGGACAGTTCTCCTGCCCGTGTCTCCATGACTCTGAAGGTATCTGGCTGATAAAATGACCTCACACTATGTCCATTTAGTTGTTCTGGAGCCCATTGGTCACACGCGTGATCTTCACCAGTAGATTGAGGACATCGTGGTCTATTTGACTCGTTGTCCGCTGCCTTGGCTTAACCACTGAGCTCGTGTTTGTCCTTGGCAGCGCCAGTTGTCACAGTGATCTGACACATTTCTCATGGGTCATCATTACAGACCCCTTTGCTGCTGTGGCTTTCCTCATCACTCCACTTGTTATGAGGGAGTCTTCTGGTCCCCCGTCTCCCAGATCAGGTCATAATAAGTTTATAACAAGTCATAAACCACCCACATCCTCTGCGTACCCTGTGTGCACTGGCCTTTGAGTAGCCATCGGAAACAGACCACGCAGCAGACTCCACATGGCAGCCCAATTACACTGTGCCTGGAGCTGTTGGAAGCCACCAGTTCTCCCTGCCGCCGGTTTGCTGTGGGACGCATGGCGTGGTGTTTGCCTGATTACACAATAACCTCTGTGCTTCTGTCCACGAAATAACCACGGCCTTCTAACTGGATGTCCACGTGGCTTTGAGATTATGTAACATGCTGAGAGCAAGGCTCTTTGGTTCACGAGGGGTCCATTAGTACACGAGGGTCCTGAACAAATGTGTGCCTTTGCATGAGAACACACACACACAGAGAATTGTTCTCACTCTCGGTTCCTTCAAACTCTCCCGTTGAAAACAAATTATTGTGCGATATGCAAATGTGGCTGAACCCTGATTGGTGGCAGGTGCTGCTCTCCATGCCTACTGGTTGGTCCGGGGACCTGTCCATCGATGTCACGAGCCTGTGGACTGATATCCAGGCCGAGAAGAGCTGAAGTGTAACAGGAGCTCAGCTGTGTTTCGGGCTCCTCCGTCCTCTCTCTCTCTCTCTGGGGGGAGGGCCCTTGGCCTAAGTTCCTGGCTAGTCACTGGGGAAAAACGGAGGCGAGACGCAATCTGCGGCCCCCATCGGGTGTTGGTGATGGTTGTGAAACCAGCTGGACATGCTCGTCTTAGGAGACAAGGGGCTTCATGTCATCGGGACGTGGGGGAGGGCGGGGGGGCACGGCCGTGTTTACCGCTCCGGTTTCCCTACAAGTGCCTGAGCCCCTGTTGTTATTGGGCACCGTAAAAAAACGTCTTCAGAGAGCTGTTCCCAACTCAAAGTATGTATTTGGCCATCAAACAAAGAGGGAAAGGCTCCCCGGTGTCCGATGCCCCCCCCCCTAACCAGGAGGCTGATGTGTGCCGAGGTTTATGAGGCCAGCGACTGTTTGGCAGAGTGCGCTAAAGGGCTGTGTGCATGTGTGCGTGTGCATGTGTCCGTGTGTGTGTGTGTGTGTGTCAGCCAGGGTCCGGTTTGCAGAGCCGTCACTCTGACCCGATACTGACTGAGTGTGAACCGCCGTTACATGCCGAGTACATGTTGTTTTCATGGCTCCAGTGCCAGATGTTGTTTGTGATTATGGATCGTCTCACGAGCGCGAAGGAGCGATTCCCTCAGCGAGGCGTCTCCGGCGCTCGGGGTGAAAAGCACGCGGCCCGGTGCTTCATCGCGGCCCGCGGCGCTCTCTCCTCAACAGCTTGATTTATGGTCCGGGCGTCGCTCAGAAGACGCTCAGAAGTGCACTGGCTCTGCTTTCTGGGGACATGAGCGTGCTGGAGGACCCGTCCCACATTTCTGGACACTTAAAAATGAGGCAATAAAATGAGACACGACTATAGCGTTGCTTTCCTGTCTATAAATTCATTCGTTCATTCATTCATTTGATGTATAATCAAAATAATAAATCATCAACATTACATTACAATACAAGTGGTCCAAAGTTAGACATGACAAGAGACTTATTTCTGAAACTATTGGGCACATTTCTGCTCCACACGCGGTTTCAAGTGGTGCTTTTGTGTGACTCTTTAGATCTTTAGATAAGTGCACCAAGACCTGGACGTCTCTGGCCTCCAGTCATCTGGTCTCAGCGTGGCCCTCACTGGAGATGTCTCATGTGGCTTTGGAAGTCACGTGTCTTTAAACACTAGCGTCCTGGCGTCCTCCTCCCTCATAAGCTGAGTGTGAACGCCTTCCTTTTCTGTCTTTAATCTGAACCGGTCAGAATGGTATCGAGGTGCACAGGACGTGTCACTTCCTGTGTCCACCACAAAGGCAGTTTCTCAGAGTACAAACCCCCAGTGGGCTTCCTGAGGGACTCATGGCCGGGACTGTCCCACAGTCCATTTCCCTCTTGGGGACGTTCTTGATGGCCCTGCTGAGAAACCTCTGGGAGAATTTATTAAAGGTCATTGGTTGACGTGGAGACGTATTGGACGAGTGAGTATATTTAGCCTGTGGTTCCATATGGAAAGACTTAACTCCCATGTAAGAGGAGCATGTGCGCTTCCATGCCCTGTAAGTGTGTTGTGAGTGTGGCTCATAGCTAAGTGGGAGTCCTGTGGTTTAGGCGGGGCTCACAGCGCTCAGTGGCCTGCTCCACCTTCCCGGCACTCTGCTGCCTTCTTCACTTCACAACGGGCAGACTGCGTCCCGACTTTCCCCCCGAAACTGTAAGTTATTTTTCTCTCTCGGTATCATTGAATGAGCTGAAGTTAATAGAGAAACGGTTATTCTGTCAAAGTAGTACGAGGGGGGGGGTCTAAGCTGTAAACTCAGTTTGTATATTCATAGCCTGATTCATGAGAACATGATGAAATAATCAGAGGTCCTATTTGTTCCGTCACAACAATTCATGTTTGTGTCTTTGCTTCTGAGATTGAATCAAGCTTTTGTTTTCAAGTCCCTCTTCCTCCGCGGGAATAACGGGCGTACGAGGGCCTTTCTTCCTATCTGGGACGTTGGAGGCCCCCAAGCCTTCTTAGCCGCGTTTAGTTCCCCCTCCCCTGTGTTTCCCTGTTCATGAATCTTTTTTTGACTCCTCTTCTTGAACAAAGTTAGAAGAAGAACATGGCGTTTCGACACGTCGGGGACCTCCATACTGGTTTGTGACCAAGCGGTCGGTGAAACGTGAGTAGTAATAGTACAGCCTACTCACACTCTTCGCCGGGCCTTCTGCTCCTGCCTCCTCCTGGTTCGCAGAGTAAGCTGCTCACGTGTTGTCCACAGAGAAAGCTCACGTAGTAGTGTACAAGTGTAGTGACACACTTGTAATGATGTGAAGTGTGTTCATCAATACGATACACTTATAGTCTATAGCTTTAATACAATTACTTCAGTGTGTTATAAAGCATTCGTTGCTTGTTTATATAATACTGCACACTGAAACTCACAACTGGCTGTACTGGAACTCTGAGTCAGAGCGTGGGCTGCATGAGAGACATGAAGGCCAAGCAGCCACCGTGTAGTATGCAGAATAAAGTCTGTATGCAGAAGAGTCTGTATGCAGAATAGAGTCTGTATGCAGAAGAGTCTGTATGCAGAATAAAGTCTGTATGCAGAAGAGTCTATGCAGAATGAAGTCAGTATGCAGAAGAGTCTGTATGCAGAATCTAGTCTGTATGCAGAATAAAGTCTGTATGCAGAATAAAGTCTGTATGCAGAAGAGTCTGCATGCAGAATATAGTCTGTATGCAGAATCTAGTCTGTATGCAGAATATAGTCTGTATGCAGAAGAGTCTATGCAGAATCTAGTCTGTATGCAGAATAAAGTCTGTATGCAGAAGAGTCTGTATGCAGAATCTAGTCTGTATGCAGAATAAAGTCTGTATGCAGAAGAGTCTGTATGCAGAATCTAGTCTGTATGCAGAATGAAGTCAGTTTACAGAATGAAGTAGGATTAGATGAGCGGATGCTCACTGCATGGAGAGGTGCAGCAGCTCAGACTGTTCTACTTCACTGGGAGTGTTGAGGAGTGAGTCTATTTAGAGACGGGCAAGGGGCTTTAGGTCTAAGCTTGATCTTTTCAGCACAAGCAGACCATGGATGTCTGTTGGTTGGGTTCTAAACTGCAGCCTCCATCACTTACCCATCTGCTCTTGGGGTTTGGATCAGTTCACAGAGTTCACATCTTACCACATGGCTTCACACATGAAGGATTGCCTTCAGGCATTATGGGAGTTTGTACATTAGGTCCCAATCCCCATACTCAGCGCCTGTGATGCACGCAGAGGATCAGGGCTGTGCTGTTGCCCATAACTCATAGCAATGTGACGTGTGGAGGCATGGAGATGTCCAAGAAGGTACACAAAGAGGACATCACATGTGTGTTCAAACTAGAATATCACATTTACTCAAAGAAATGACTAAAGATGGAACATAAAAACCACATGAAATCAGGAGAATGGAAGCAGAGATGATATTAACATTTAACTTAACATGTTTTGACAGAAACAAGTTTCTACAATCAGATCTCATTTGGTGAGGACAGTGCTTGGAACATGTTGGAGAAAAATTCAACATGTACAATTTTGGCGGTGGGGCGTGAACATTTTCCTTCCTCCAAAGCGGGTTGTGACAGAAAAGGTTTGTGAAGCGCTGAGTCAGAGGCTGCTCCACATAGACAGGCTGACCTGCTGTGGATATTTGACCACCCGACCACAGATGTTAAGCCAATAAGTCATTAAAGGTATATTTGGACCAGTGCTCACCACAATGCTCGCAGCTCTGTACTAGCGCAGTATATTAGCTGGTTAGCTCCAGGAATCTGGTCATAGACAAATGAACAGTTACTGCCCTGTTACAATTTACTGTCTGCAACACATGTCATTGTATCTCGGGGTCGGGGGGGTGTATGACCAGTCCGAGACGGAGCCTGCTGGAGTGTGGAGCAGCAACGCCTCAGCAGGGACACCCATTGACTTTATTTCATCTGAATGCTGGACCCCCGCGTTCACGCAGCCTTGACGCCAAGTGGATTTCTATTTGCGCTGTTTCTGCGTCCGCTTAGCTGCAATGATTCGGCTGAGTGACACGGTCTTGATTTATCGTCAATCCCTTTATAATGGTTATTTTAGATGCACCGTGATTACACTCCAGATATTTAACAGCTTTGAAGTGCAAAATATCTGAAAGCCGCGTGAATGCTTTGGCAACGATGGAAACGGGCTCCCGTGAGCCCGTCCTTAGCGGAGACACAGCAGCTTCAGTGTCTGAGGCCTCTCGTTGTCAGGCATCGCACCTGACAATGTGCTCACGCAAAGATTAGCATCCACGATGATTAGCAATGGAGCCAGTGAAGTACCTGGAGAAATCTCCAGCCCTCTACATCCCTCTACATCCATCTACATCCACGAGAGCGTATCAATAGCCGCTTTAGATCACATTCTGGGTGCGTGCTCTGTTAACTCACCGTCATTCACCCTTCACAAATTGGCAGGCTAATCTTATGGAGCAGCTCATCCACTTGGGGGCCCTTTAATGCATATCAGCTGATAATGACTAAGAAACATTGGCCTCTTCTCGGGGCTCGCTCCCTTCCTCTTGATGGATTGTCGCTGCAGTCAAGGGTGAAGGCCAACGGGTCAGTGTGCTGATCCGTCCATCACATTTATGAGCGGGTGTCATTGAACCTTTGTGGTGGGGGAGGTGCTGTTGGGCCGTAGGAGCATTTCGCAGCTTCAGACACACGTTTATCCGATAACGATCCATCCACAGAGGAATCCGCTAATCGTTTTGTCACTTACCGAGAAAAAGGACAAACCTTCTTTCCTTTTTGGGGTTATGCACTGATGGCCGCACAAACACAACGGTCACAAATGTCAAGAGGGCAACTGTGGCTCATTGGAGAGCGGTGTCGCCCCTCCATCACAGGATCGGCTCCGCTAGTGTCCACGTCGATGTGGCTGCATAGCTGCAACCACGGTGTGTGAATGCTAGTTACTGATGGGCAGGTGGTTTTGTGTGTGGTAGCTCCTGTCATCAATGGATGGATGGGTGTGAACAGGTGAATGATGACATCATCGTGTGTGTCATCATTGACAGGTGTCCGGGTCAAAGACCTTCGAGTGGAAGGAAGACTATGAAAGACCATTTACCAAGACAGGTTTAAACTTTGTTCTTCTTCTCTTGGCAGGTGTACCTCATCAATGTCACCTACTCGGACAACACCTCCCACATCATCTACAGAAGATACAGCAAATTCTTTGACCTCCAGGTAATCCCCTCCTTGCATGTACTTGCGATCACTCCATTGGCCCGGGGTATTTTGAGCATGTCCACCCTGAGAGCATTGTTTTGTATAGATTAATGTGTCTTCCACACCTGGTCGCCCCAGTGAATCCATGTGAGTGTTAGTAATTGGTGGGGGGAGCAGGGGAGACGCCTCGTACAGAAGCAGCAACGCAGCACTTCTGTCTCCTCTTCCTCTCTCATCTAATCTCTGCCGTAGCCTCAAAACGTCAGGGAGCTGACAGGCTCCTTTTTTAATAGTACAAAGCACAAATCCACATGGAAGTCAACTTAATGTACAATTATAGTGGGCCGCTGCTAGGTTCTCCAGTGCAGGCTGCTCTGATTGGTGGCCTCTTGAAATAAAATATTTTCCTGTTCTCTTCACTTGGTGTTTAAAAGGGTCAAGTTTATTTTGGAACTCTGAACGAGTTGCAGTGAAAAAGCCGCCTTGTATCTCTCAGATGGACCTCTCCGTGCTGAGAAAATGTTTGTGTGCTTTCATTGCACCTTGCCCCCGTCGGCCCACTGCAAGCTGATACCACATGTGTGTTGGACCAGAGGTCTCCGGGTCACCAGTAAATATAAAAGGACTGCTGTGAGAGAGTAACCGGGGGCCACATCTCAATGGCCACAGTGTGCACGTCCAGAAGGAAATGATGTGCCAATCAGTGGAGGAAAGGCCCTTTCTGAAAGCTCCCATTGATAACCAGTGTGAGGTGGAGAACAACCTGTCCCCAACGTGGAATAAAAGATGGAGGTGGAATAATAAACAGGGTAAAGGGAGTAGGGATGGGAATCGAGAACCGTTTTTTTAGAACCGGTTCCTAGTGACCCGATTGTTTGGAATCGTCAGCCAAATTCTTTAACGGTTCTGCTAACGGTCCTCTGTGGCGTTGCGCATGCGCAAACTTTTTTTAGTTTCTTCAGACTGCAGCAAACATGGCAACTAGGCAGAAGCGTCCTAAAGTTTGCCTCTATTTCACACGACAAAATGACACCTACGCCACTTGTAACCTGTGTAAAAAGTGTGTTTCGTCGAAGGGAGGAAATACAACAAATATGAATAAGCATTTGAACACACAGCATGGAATTAAATTACAGGAATGTCATGTGTTCGATGCATGCAGCAGCTCAGCTAACGTCGGCGCTTCATCTCTTTCTGTCCAAGGTAAACTCCTCAAAAGTGATCACAACCACTCACTGTGTGAAGCAATTTGCCTTTATTGTGTGTAGTCGATCAAGTTATCTTCTGTCCCTTCGTTTGAAGCATACATTTGATCACTTCACGTTTGGATTGAAAGTCCAGTTTTGAGAAATGTTTGATTGTAACGGTGTTAATTATCGGAGGGCGTGTGTTATCAGCAAACATTCATTCATACATTCATTCATACAACTGAGCATATCGATTTTTAATCCATTATTAAACTTAGCATATAGCTACGCTAGCTTAGCTATAGAATCTTCCATTTTCAGCTCCCTACATTGAGGCAGAGGTAGTGTTTGCCTCCCCTCTTAATGGTGGCTGTGGTGGCGGGCGTGGTTTGTCTCACCCGCAGAGGGGACGGAGAAGGGAGTGGTTCCGGGAACGATGCCGGGGGAGGCATAATTGGCCTCAGCTGAGATCAGTGTGGGTCTTCTACCTTTAAGTATGAGAGATCCGGCGACAGCGAGAAAGGCTGGCGAAGGAGCTGGAGCCAATCGTGTGTGCTGTCCAAAAACGGTTCAATAAAGACTGTTGCTAAACCAGTACGCTGTATCCTCGTCATTTCGTCATCATGGAACTGACCGATGGCAACCACCAGCAGGGGATACCGGCCCAGCCGTTTGTGCTGCTCGGCCACATGATCAGGGAACTGGCAGCCATCCAACGGTAGCAGACAGAGGCCAACCGGCTGTTCCTGGCGGCGCTCCAGGTACAGGTGGGGAGACAGGCTCAGGCGCTGGAGCAGCTGGCGGTGCGGACTGCGGCTGCACCACCAGCGCAGGAGCCCGCGGGGTTCGCCGGTCTCACGCTCCACCGAATGGCGGGGGGCGACGACGTCCAGGCGTTCCTGGAGGCCTTTGAGGCGACGGCGGAGGCCTACGGTTGGTCGGCGGGGGGGTGGTCGGTCCGGCTTTTGCCTCTCCTGGCTGGGGAGGCGCAGACCGCAGCCATGGGGCTGCCACTGGCGGCGCGCGCGATTACGGCAATGTCAAAAAGGCCGTGACGGACAGGCTGGGGCTGTCGCCGGAGGACCACCGCCGGCGGTTCCGGGAGGCCAGGCTGGGGCCGCGGGACCGCTCGTTCGCGTTCGGCCAGCGGCTGAAAGACGCCGCCACGAGGTGGCTGCAGCCGGACGGCGCTGGAGGGGTCCAAGGGGTGATGATGCGGGTGGTGCTGGAGCAGTTCGGGGAGGGGCTCCCGGCACGGGCGGCGGCGTGGGTCCGGTGCCACCGTCCGACGACCCTGGAGGTGGCCATTACCCTGGCGGAGGACCATCTGGCGGGGCATCCCAGCGGGCAGAGGGACCGGGAGAGTTCGCCGGTGTCAACCTGACCAGGAGCTGCGCCGCGGGGAGGGAGGCTGCCGCGGACGGAGGAGCAACCCAGACTGGCTCTGCGGCAGGCACCTTTTTCCCCAGTCCGCGACCCACTGGCCCCGGGGAACCCAGGCACCCTTCCCAACTCACAGAGAGGTTCTCAAGCGCCGGGGCAGGAGTGTTGGAGGTGCGGGCGGCTCGGTCACCTCCGGAGAGAGTGCCCGCTGATGGAGGTGGGACAGGTGATCCGAGTGGCCGGCACCCTCCCCCAGTCCGGGAGCGACGTACCGTGTTTCCGGTAAGGATCCAGGGGGGTACACGCCAGGCGATGGTGGATTCGGGCTGTACGCAGTCTATGATTCACCAAAGCCTGGTTCGGCAGGGGGCATTGGTGGAGGCAGACCGGGTGAGAATACGGTGTGTGCATGGGGATGTTCACGAGTATCCTGTGGTATCGGTGGAAATTAGATATGCGGGGAAAAAGCATAGAATGAAGGTCGCGGTTAGCTACCGCCTGACGTCATTTTGGGTACAGATTGGCCGGGGTTTGATGAGCTAATGGGGGAGGGGCTGCAGGGGTGCGTTCACAACCGACAGGGTTGTGCGAGATGTGTGCTGTGCTCAGCGGTGACGCGGGGTCGTCCGACACTGCAGACGGGGAGGGGGAGCCCGCGGAGCCTCCCGTAGAGACTCCGCCGGCTCCTGAGTTTCGCTCCATGGAAGATTTTCCACTCGAACAGTCTCGTTACGATACCCTACGCTCAGCCTACGACCAAGTGATACGTATTGATGGTCACCTGGTGCGCCCTGACGCAGCGCAGTCATTTCTGCACTTTTCATTTATTAAGGACAGACTGTATAGAGTGAGTCGTGACACTCTGACTAGGGGGCAGGAAAACACTCAGTTGCTGGTGCCGAAAAGCCGCCGGGAAATGATCTTCCAGGTGGCTCACTATAACCTGATGGCTGGTCACATGGGATACGAAAAAACGGTAGACCGGATAATGACCCGATTGTATTGGCCAGGCATCCGGGTGGACGTGCGCTGTGTGTGAGATGTAGCCGAGGGGACTGGAGGTGTGTCTTCCTCCGGGTCCTCCTAGAGGAAACTAATGAACTAATGAATACTTCATGCCTGGCTGTCAGCAGTGGCGGGACTGCTCTGGTTATCTTTGTCTGATGGGCCAAAGGTCAGCCAATCTGGTTCGGGCCATCAATTACGCCAGTGGTTCTCAAACATTTTATGTCGAGCCTGGCTGTAGTTCCTCCACGACCCCATTTTGGGAAGCACTGTAATAAGTTAGACAGATGTGTTCTAGTGTAAGGGTCCTGGGCTGCACACTTGGGGGGAGTTACCAGCTGGAGATCACACCTTGCCATTTGCACTGTGACGCAGGTAGGCAGCTGACTGACGAGCTCTCTGCCGGCCTTTTGAACCTCTCCATGCCTTTGATAGACCCGTTTGAAACCATGGATTACTTTCCTAGTAACAACTGGAAGGCGGTCTGCCTGGAAACAGTCAGGTGATGCTCAGACTCACTTTATTTAGCTTTGAAGATGAAGATAAAAGCCTTTCCAATGCGTCTCTGCCAGAGTAAAGCCAGCGAGCTTGAGAAAGTGTTTAGGTCGGCATGCTATCAGTGCTGTTTAGTGGTCATTTCCTGCTGATGGAATGGGTACATTACTGCGGCATGTTTGCAACCGAATCGTAAGGATACATTTGTGCATGCACTTTTATTCTGTTAAGGGAAAGTAGCAGGCAACGAGTGGAGGCTTGTAGTCACACATCCAGAACACTGTAGGCCTTTGCTTGTGCTTTTTAACAGCAGTATGTTCTTTGCAGAGTACCTGTAGCATTTCATGAAAATCTTAAACTGGATTAAATAAAACAGTAATGCATGTTATTAATACATTTGATTGCGTCTGGGAGACATTTAAAATGAAATTGTCCACGTGGGAGTTCGCTTTCTCCAACTGCAGTCCTTTTTCTGTGAGCGCTGCAGTAATCTTAAACCCACCCCCAAATGCTCTCATTGGTTGAGACGCGTGACGACGCCCATCCGGAGCCAATGCCGAACCCAAAGCTGAACCCAGGACGGACACTTCGATAAATGAACGGGTTAACTCTCCTAGCTTTTTGACAGGGGCCATTGTTTTGTATTCTGTCCACAGGCGGCTTTCTCCAAGCCTTCCCTGGTGCATCTTTTTCCACGTTTTAGAGTAAGCTTATGTAAGCTATTGTTGCACAGGGGTTCCGGTGTGGGGGCTTTTGTTGTGAAGGGGGAGAGGAAGTTGGTGTGTTGTTGAACTGGGGCTGTTGGGGGAAAAGAAAATAGAAATAAAGTTGCGGCCGGTTCGGCGCAGAACTGGAGCTCTTTTGTTATCTACACAAAGTATAGGCGCACCCGAACCACTCGGATATACTTATTAGCTTGGTTTCTTTCTAGAGTCGGCCCTCAAGGTT